TCCAGGGCACCCAGCGTCCCATGCCAGCAGAGAGGTGCCCCAGGCCTTCAAAGCCCTATGGAATGATTTCAAATTCCTCTCTGTTTGCCTGCAAGAGGTGAAATTGGGCAAAAGAAGACAAAACTAGAGAAACAGGGCTTTGGAGGCCATGGAAACAGAGGGAGCTCTTGCCCTGGTCTGCCCCGCCATCTAGTGGGAACAGAGGGAAGGTGCAGCCTGGTTTCCTGGGCAAAGAACAGACCTTGGGCCCCAGGTGGTGTCTGAATGTGAGAACTACCTGGGACCCAGAAACGCAGCCACCCGAGGCCATCCTGCCTTGGGGAGCGCCCGGTCTCTCTCTCCATACCTCAGAGGTATTCTGAGCTCTAAGGTGCTCCAAGGCCCTCCCTCCCATTCCTCACCAGCTGAACGAGGGCTTCCCAGGAAGAGCAAGAAGAGCCTGGACCAGAAGGGAGGAGCTCTGAGTTCCCACTCTGAGCTGCTTGGACCAGTAATTTCCACCTTTGGCCTCAGTTTGCCTGTCTGTAAAACGGGACCGGCAGCTTCTCACTCCTGAGGTTATTGCAACAATTAGACGCGTGAGGGGAGGACATTGTTGGCCGTGTTCATTGCCCTGCTGTGGCCTGTGGCAGGCGGCAGAGCAGGACTGGGGGCCTCCCAGCCAGACGGGCTTGGCTCCCATTCCGGCTCCTCCGCTTACGCGCTGACATCAGAAAGCTGCATGGTTCCATCCCTCAACTGCGCAGTGAGAATAATTATACACGGAGGCCTGTAATGAGGATTGAAGAAGGAAACAGCGGCAAAGTATACGTAGAGCTCCTACAAACCCCCTCCCCTCCTCAAGCAGGAGGACCCAGAGCCCACCTGGCCTGAGAAGGGGTCATGCGAGACTTCCAGGGCTGGGCTTACAAGTTGTGCCCTGCACAGCGCTGAGGGTGACAGCTGCGGTGAAGAGCGGGAGCAGTGAGCCACCTCTCCACGCGTCCAGGGCCACCCTGGGTCCCTGCCTTCCCCCTTCTGCTTCATGTGCCTTGGATTTAGTTTCTCGAGCCAAGCCAGCAGGAGTCGTCTAGGATTAGAGGATTTCAACGGCAGGGAATATGCAGACTGAGTGCAGTCCTACACGGCAGCATCCTGGGACCCTTCTGTAGAAGGGACGCACGTGTGCCCTGCGCCTCATTCTGTTTCTCTCCTTCTCTCCCCAGCCTCTGTGTATCACAGGGACTGTCCTGCAGATGGACTTTGAACGCCTACGGGCAAGGACGCTACCTCATTCCTTGTGTCTTCGTCACATCGGTGTAAGAACGGGAACTCGGTAAACATTCCTTTGCTCGATGAACGGATGAGCGGATGGGTGGATGGATGAGTGAGTGGGTAGGTGGGTAGGTGGATGGGTGGTGGGTGGACGGGTAAGTGGACGGGCGTGTCTGCAGGGAGAATGGTGAGTGGGTGGGTGGGTGGATGGATGGGCCGGGTCAGCGGTCCCCCCAGCACACACATCTTTGTCCATCACCCACTGGTCTGGGTGTCTCTCCCCATTAACAAGACCACGTGCTCAGTGAGGGCAGGACTCAGCCTGCTCTCTCACAGTTCCACCCGCCGCTCTGAGCCCGAGACCTGGCACATGGCGTGTGCTCAGGGAACAGCTGTCAAAGAGGCTGGAGCAGATGCGGGAAGGAGAGGGAAGACCAAATTTTCATTATTATGGAAACCACAAATAAATAAATGCAGCGTATTTTTGGAGATGGCATAAAAACTGTAGATGGCGTTTTAAAGATGGAGTTTTAAAATGCACTTCCGCTGTGAAATCCAAATCCACACAGTCGTGGGGGCTCAAAGCCTGGGTCAGTGCATTTTTATTGTCTCTTCATCAGGAAAGGCGTGTCATAGCTTCTGAGCTGGAGTCAGAACAAATGGTCGCGGCTCAAGAAGAGCCAGAGACACATCCCCAGTCTCCCCAACCAGACTGCCCCGCACAGCACCGGGCCCTCGGCGGATGCTGGCTGAGCCCCTGAACCAAACAGAGCAGCCAACACAGCCACGTTCCAATGCTGCATGCAATTTATTCTACTTGTTCAAAATCTGTTATCTGCAACATTACATACTGTAATTCTTTACTGACTCTGAGGGTATCTGATAAATCAAGAACCTCACCTCTCCCAAATGTTTGTGTTAGTGGTAGTCAATTATAGCCAACAGAATGAATCACATAAATTAAAAACTAAAGATCATATTATCATTCTAAGTTCATCAAGGAAAAACACTCTACTTTCAGGTGTTAATTAACTATCAAATACAATTCCATTTGTTTTAAGTACAGTAAAAAGCATCATCTATTAGTATGGTATAATGGAGAAAATTCTAAACTGACATACTTAGGTTCTAGTCCCATTCCCTCATTAATTCATTTGGGGACCTTAAGGGAATACCTCTCCCATCTCCTCTCAGGTTGCCCATTGTGAATGGTTACATGGTACCTCCCCCTGGGGTCGGAGGATATTTAAAATGGCTGTGAAATGTTTGGAGAAAGATAAATGAGTGATATATGGTATATCATTCCTACTCATGAAGATTTTCATATTGAGAGAGTGCCTTTTGAGTCAGTGCTGTGTAAATAAAAATAACATCCTGGTAAAGCAGGAGGAAAGTTAAAGAGCATATATATCTACTAAGCATAACATCAATGATGCACTTATTACTGATGTCTTGTTAGAAGAACTTCAAGAGCACTGTGAAACATCTTTGAAAATCAAGAACATTATGTATTTGACAAGGCATGCCGAACGGCAGGCTGGCTGGATGTGGACCATGGATGGACGGACGGATGGACGGACGGATGGCCGGTGAGCAAAACCAGGAGGGCCACGTGGACCTCGTTGGACGGCGAAGGGTGTGGGAGCTCCGGGGCTGCGGAGGTGATCTGGGTGACGGCAGGGCTGTCCGTGCTCGGGCTGAAGATCCCTGTGTCCGGCGCTCCAGGCGTCCCCAGCACCCTGCCCACTGCTCCAACAGCTCCCGCCTCCTGCCTGCTTGTCTGGGACCTTCGGAGTCGCCAGGCCTCCTGGGGGCAGGCAGAGGTATGTTTTTATCACCTCTGGGGCTCCTCCCAGGCCTGGGTGTGGGTGGGGCAGGGCGGGCTTCTGCCGGGCTTGATGAATTAAGAACTGAGCTTGACTCGGGGCTACCTGCATAGGGAAGGGGGTCCCGCATCAGTTCGGGTGCAGGAAAGGAACGGTTCCCACGGAAAACCCCTGCAGTGCGGGTGGCAGAGGGGTGCCACCAGCCCTGAGGACGTGACTTCGGTGCTGGCTGCGGAGGCAGAGATGGCTCCCAGCAGGCGCCGGGGGGCGGGGCTGCAGCGCCACGCCTGGTGCGCACGCCTGAGCCCGACCACCACGCCCTTGGGGACTGCGTGTCTTTGTGTGATCTGTGGAGACCCCCATCGCGGTCTCAGAGCTCCTGTGCTGACTGCTGATCTGGTAAGTGGAGGGATGGTGGTGTGTTTAATGTGTTTCAAAGAGCTGAGTTGGGCGGGAACCTGGAAACTAGTTCTAGATGGTTTTCACCTTGGAAGACAGAAGCCCCAGGAGAACAACAAAAGACGGGCCAGTTTGTTCCATTTCAAGGAACAGCAGCGCGCATGGCCTTGAGGCCAACGCGCCAGGTGGCCTTAGACAGTCAGGACAAGCATCAGCCCATTGCTGGAATCCCCGTTTTAAATATTAAGTAAAATCCACTGAAATTCCCGTCAGTCTCTCCAGGGAAGTGACTGGCCTGGCGCACTGGCCCTGGCCTAGCCCTACCGTCTGGGCGGCAAGGGTTCTGAGGCCCTGGGTTACAGGTCCCCAGCTGCCAGGCGTCCTCAGAGGAAAGGGGGCAGGACAAAGAGGGGGCAGGCGCTCTCCTGGGTCTGCAGAAGCAGCTCCTTGATCGGCTCCTTCATTGCTGGTTGAGCGGAAGTGACCGGGCCTGGACGTGAGCTCTGGAGAAGGGCGCCATGACCGCCCTGCGGCGTGACCTCGGGGGAGGCATTTGGACCCTCCGGGGCCGGTTTCCTCACTTCAAGGAGGCGGCCATACCTATCACGCTTTGCTGAGTTGTTTTGAAGATCTGTCCCCTCCAGAGAAGGAGCCAAGCACAGGCAAGGTGCCCTTGGCTGGGGAAGCTGCGGCCCCACTGAGGAAATGGGGAGCAGTGGCCAGTCACTGTGGGGCCTGTGCACATGACAGGACCCCTGACAGGGGACAGGATAGAACAGGGTCGGTAAGTGGAAGGGTCGTGGGCCCCAAACCAGAGACTAAGACACCACATGGAGGCAGGCCATTTTTTTATGATTAGAGTATCCAAGTGACCTAGAATTTGCTGCTGTCCACTCCCCTCTTTTGGACCCTCAGGGGTGACAGAGGACCCCAACGAGCAGAAGCCTTCAGGGACCCCGGGAAATCTTTCCTCCTGACCCCGATGCCTGGTACCCCACCTTGAGAATTGTGCATATCTTAGAGAATTGCTCCAGAACCTTGTCATTTTGGTTTTTTTTTTTTTTTAATGGAGGCTTCACTGCAAGGGCTCATTTGATTAAATCACCAGCCAATGGTGACTGATTCAACTTCCAGGCCCTCCTCCCCTCTCCAGACGTCAGGGGGTGGGACCGACATTTCTAGCCCTCCAATCACATGGGTGGTTCTCCCAGCAACCAGCCCCATCCCTGGGTGCCTTCCAAAAGTCAACTCATAACAAACGTAACAGGAGACACCTTTCCTGCTCCCATCACACAGGAAATCCAAGTGTTTTAGGAGCTCCGTGCAGGAACAGTGAACAAAGACCAAATATACGTTTCCTATTATAAATCACGGGCCCCAAATGCTAACACCCACAAATCTGCCCTTTGCCAAAGCCTCCGAGACACACCAGGCGGCCTCCCTCCGAGGCAAAGGCAGGACCCGCGCGTGGGGTGCGCCCCGTGCCTCGCTCCTCACCCACCTTCCGGGCGGCCGGGCCCGCTAGTCATGAAACACCTGGTAGCCGAAGTTGTCTGGCTGGGTCTTAAAGGTGTACTTTCCGGTCACTCTTTGGTAGCGCACAATGAGAACGGCAGCTGCCCCGGTCACCGCGGCAAAGACGGCGACCACAATGAGGACGACGTAGCTGGGTCTCAGGCCTGGCTTCCTGCTCGGAGGCTCCCCTGCGGGGGGTGGGACGGGCACAGGTAAGAGGCCTGCCCAAAGCAGGAGGACGGGCACCTCCGCGGGCGTCGCGACGGGTTGTGAGTGTCGGCTGCTGTGTGGCATTATTGCTGGAAAGTGATTCACCTGAAGCACCGTGGCAGTGAGGCGTGTGCCCATGTACCTGGGGGTCCCCAAAGGTGATGAAGGAGGGGAGCACCGCAGCCAGGACCGTTCAGCCCGCCCAGTGTCCAGGGTACACAGTGGCCCAGGTAGGGGCAACAGGCCCTCCGGGAGCAGGCGGACAGCTCAGCGGGACCACCCACACGGGGACACATGGGCTCACACGCTCTACAATGCAGAGGAACACAGCCTGCCACAGACCCAGGGAGGGGCAATAGAAGAAACACAGGAGAGTGGACCCCAAAGATGGACAACGGCAATCACATAAATACGTGCAAATCCATGTTCCTAGCAGCACTATTCACAACAGCCAAAGGTGGAAACAGGCCAAGTGTCCATCAAAGGGCAAAGGGATAAAAATGAAGTCCCATGTAGCACACCCAGGTGCTAAAGAAAAAGCAGCGTCTGCCATACAGTCGGTGAAATAATGAGTAAGTGGGAGAGGGGTGGATAGGTGGGTGAACAGATGGACGGACGGATGGGTGGATGGACGGACGGACTGAAGGATGAATGGATGAGTAGGTGAGTAGATGAGTAGAAGGACAGTAAATGGATGGACCAATAGATGAGTGGGCGGATGGATACAATTCAGAAGATTCAGTAAGTTTCCCAAGAGCATGTAGCTCGTAAGTATGAGAACCTCCATTCAGACTCAGGTCTCCCAACTCCAAGCCCATTGCTCTTTCCCCTCCGGTTTTACACTGTATGTAATATCTGTGAGTAAACAGAAGGCGTGCACTTAGGAAATTCAACTCACTCATGTTCTATTTCACATCCGGGCCCCAGTTCTCCTCTGCCAACTTAAGAAAATGCAGGGCATAAGGAAAGCTCGCTGTCCTGGGACACAGGCCTGCAACTGGCTGAGGACCAGTGTGCACACCAGGGCTGGGCGGACGGCTCCAGGGACTCTGCGTTGGGCCAGGGCGTGGCCCAGGGCCCGTGAAGGTTTACGCTTCCCAGACGCTTTGGATGAGAACCAGCCGCTGAGAATCCCTGGCTAAGAAGCCCTCCCTGCCCAAGTCCTGACCTGCATTCCCATCCTGGCATGGACCCTGCATCTGAGACAGACATTTTTGTTCCGGAAAATTGCGAGAGGAGGCAGGGCCACCCAAGTGAGGAAGAAAAACAACAAAAAAGGAAAAAAGCAAGGAGGATTAGGTGTGGCTGCAAAGAAAGAGGAAACCCCAGGAGAGCAGTGACAAGGACCGTGGAAGTTTCTTTCTTTCTCGCATAAAAATTGGTTCAGTCAGAACCCAGGCCAGGCCCGGCAGTCTTGCTCTACGGGGTCCTCAGGACCCGGCTCTCCCAGCTCCGGTTCCTGCAGTCCTCCTGGCGCACGACAGCAGCAGGCGGCAGCGGCCTCGCCGGCATGTCAGGCGACAGGACGGGGAAGTGAGAACCGAGACCGGGAAAGCGTGGGCACGGGATGTTGCTCGGGTGGGCGGGCGGGCGGGCGGCCCTGACATCCCCACCAGCATTTTGCTGGCCAGAACCGACTCACATGACCACGCCTGGCTGCCAGGTTGGTTATACACTTAAAAAATTAAGAGTTTTTATTCCCAGCTAAAAACTGGGGGTTCTATTACCATGGAAGGAGAGGAGAACAAATATTGGGGAACAGCCAGCAGTTTTTGTCTTAGTAGCCCAAAGCACACAATTCCTCAAACTGTTTTTTTTAAATAGGATAGATCACAAAGGAAAGAAATTTTTTTCCTGGAAAAACTAATAGCGGGGCTTCAGAAATACAGGGAGTGTCATTGGCTGACGGGTGTTTCACACTGAGAGATAACAGCAGGGACATTTTTTCATTTTGCATCTTGTGATTTAGCCAAGCCTGAAATACATCGGCTTCCCCATTCACACACAAGTGCGCGCGTGCACACACAGAATCTGACCTGCCTGCGGCCCGAGGGCCTCCCTCATGCAACTCGCTGGGGGCTAATCCGGGGTCGGAAAACATTACTGCCTGTCCAGCTCCAACGTGCACTATGTAAACCTTCCCAGCTCCCGGAAGCCTTGGGCTTTTCATCTGCTAAGAAGAGAGCTGACCTCACAGAAGTACAGTCTGCACGTAAAGAACGTGAGGCAGAGCTGGGAAGTCGGGGCCCCCCGGGAGTGTGCGCTGGCTATTACTGCTATTATGAGTCTTTTGGGAAATTCTCAGGAGCTCCATGTCCCAAGGAATTGCTTTTTGGTTTACATGCTGGTGAAATGACAGTGGCCGCATCTTTTCTTTCACAGTCTAACCAAGTCACCAACTCACCGTCAGACCGAATGAGGGGTCCCCAGGACATCTGGTGTGTTTCAGATGGATCACCACTTCTCAGCGACCGAAAGTCATTGCAATTCTGTGTGGGTTGTTTTTTTTTTTTTTGAAGGAGAGAAACTTCAAATTAGTTAAACAATGTTTATGAGAAATTTGCCCACTCTCAGGAATGCTCCTCTGAGTCACAGATTTTTTTTGTTCCTGCTGGAGATGTGAAATCGTGACAGAGGAGCTCAGACAGGGAGGGAGGGCGCTGCAGAGGCCTGGGTCACTTACCTAGACTGTGGGCTCTTCCCGGCGTGACGGGAGGGAGGGCTAGTGACAAAGAGGCGTGCAAGAGCAGCGAGAGGCAGCAGCTCCTAGCTGCCTCCGGTTCCAGCACTTGTCCCTTTGCCCCTTGGGGGAGGGGGTCTTTTCTAAGAGTCACCTCTGCCCTTTGCATGGCCTGATGCAGCCATTTGCTCCTTGCAATGCCTTTGCCTCACAGAAAGGTTCAGTGGCAGGATGGTGTCTGCTGTCTATATACCTGCTATGGGTTGCCTACGTCCCCGAAAAGACACTGAAGCCCTAAGTGCCAGAATCTGTGCATGGGACCTTATTTGGAGATAGGGTCTGTGCCAGTTAGTGAGCAAGTTAAGACGAGCTCATTGGGGTGGGTCCTAACCCAACATGACCGTGTCCTTCTACAAACGGGACACTTGAACACAGACACACATTGAGACAAGACTTGTGAAGACCCAGGGAGAAGATGGCCAGCTGAGGAGACCGACCCTGAGCAGATCCTCCCTTGCGGCCTCAGAAGGACCCGACACTGCCAGCAGCCTGGTCTCGGGCGTCCAGCCCCCAGACCGTGAGACGACAAGCTTCCACGGTTGAAGCCGGCCCCTTCTGTGGCTCAGTACTGCAGCAGCCCCAGGAAACCACTACAATACCCCTCCTAAGGGAACTTGGAAAGAAGTGTGTGGGGCTCCTATTGTGAAGAATTCAGGAACGGCAGTCCCTGCAGAGGTGAAGGGTTCCTTGCTGTGGCTGTTAATGCTCTTAGCGGCTCTGATGGGCCCGTGGAACCAGGTGCAGGCTCCTAGACGCCCTTAGCTGGCAGTGGTTAGGAATCTGTGTCCCTTTCCCCCTGTTGTTCCAGAAGATCTACTGTTTGAGCAAAAGTGACATCAGCAAAACCAACCGCCATCAGGTTTCTCTCATCCATGACCTACTGACACTCTGAGGCAGACCACCCAGGAAAGCCTCAGGAGGTCACAAGGAGCAGAGGGACAAGCTTATCCCCCTGAAGGACAGAGAGACACACAAGGGCCGAACCAATGGCCAGCAGAGCCCTCTACACTGTCCTTGGCCACAGACAAAGCGTGACAGTCACTTCTCATACTTGTCACCGGTATGAAGAAGAGCTTTCAAATCTCAGGACTGCAAAGCATACTTCGAATTCAAAGGTCTAAGGAAATGAGGGTGTAAAATTATTCATAATCTCAGCCGGAATAGCACATGTAGGGAAAGGGAAAAAACCTGATTAAGTATCACAGGGGCTATGATTCATTGGTATTCCATCAATGTAGCTAAAAACAGTATTGAATTAAAGCAGCATTTTTATACCTAAATATGCAGTAAGTCACGTTGAGGAGACGTACAATAGCATGCTGACACGGAGGCTGTGATATGACGGCCAGCAGACGGTGAGGCCTCAAGAAGGACTTAGGTAACCTTCCAACTATACTGGTCCCCCACCCAAGGGCTGCCCATGGTTGAAATCATGTTTCCTGCCTTTCAGGAGCCACGTCTGCGGGACCCAGCACCTCCCCCCAGAAGTCGTGCCCCAGAGCCACCCACACGCTGAGCGTTTGCTAAGAGAGCAATCCTCTTCATAGCAACGAGGAGGGTGGGCCAGACAGAAGCTTAGAACACCTAGCACCTACGATTTTGCATGTGGTTCCGGGGGTCTCCATGCAGATGCGAAGTTTGCAGTGCAGATACACTATGGAGTTGTTGATGAAGGAAAAGATCTTCAGCTTAAACTGGGCCTTGTTGGAGTCCCCGTTCTCAATCACGTTGGTATGTGTGTTGGGGATGGGGCAGCTGGGAGGAGAGTGAAGGGGGCTCATTAGTTATACACCGGCTCTCCTGTCCTCGCTCCCAGATGGTCAAGTTGCAATACACCGGACTGCACGTGACGCGCCCCCACCAGGCTCCGTGGAAGGCGAGGTCGGCTAGCACGCCAGGTCCTGAGTGGAGAGGGTCCCCTGTGGGGTGTTACCTAAGACCCAGGTCCAGGCGTGTACAAGTCTGGAAATTCAGAGGGCCCCACGCAGACCCCAAGCCGGGGGGCCGTGGCGCCCAGGGCCCACCCACGCCCCTACCTGTTGTTAATGAAACCGAACATGACGGGGTCCCGGGCGTTGCTGGACGGCGTGGCCCAGCACTCGGTCAGGACCACCTTGAGGTTGCTTTTCTGTTTATAAAGCCCCACTTCGATCTTGACGTCATCGCTGGCAGACACGCTGTAATTTTGCGGTATAGGGGAGTCTCCAATAAATAACTGCATTTCTGTGACAAAATTGCCAGCGCCATGGAGGTCCTCGATGATGGTGTAAACCCTGCAAGAGGGGGCAGTGTGCAGGAGGCTCCCTCCCCCGACCCCTCGTTCTGTCCCCCGCCCCTGGCAAAGAAGTGTAGACATAAGGAAGAACACCCTGGTGGGCACAAGCCAAGAAAGGCGGTTTGTTCCCGGCTGGCTGCAGCAGGGGCGTAGCCTGTCACCTGCGTGGGGAGCCCAAAGGTGGGAGGAGGAGAGGAGCGGCTGCCTGGGGAAAAGGGAGTCTCCCGCGGGCCCTGATGGGGCGACTTCCTGGGGAAGGCGGGGCGGGCTCGCTAGAAGAGGGGTGTCTTATGTGGTTGATTAGGGAAACATACATATGTATGGCTTTCTCTGGCTGGTCCTGAGTTGGAAGTGGGAACAAAAATTAGGGAAGCGATCAGTTAGGAATCGAGCCCTGACCACTGTCTGTTTGTATAGTCAGCCTCTCAGATGGACTCTCCAGGGACAATGTGCACTGGGGAGACAGGGAGGGAGCTCCCCACTCACCCCCACTCCGGGGTGTAGCCCGAGGACGTCAGCAGGTCGTTCTGGAAGGCACAGTGGATGGGGCTCAGGATCTTCAGGTGGTGGATGATGCCCTCAGGGGACAGGTCGTTCCTCAGCGTGGTCCTCACCACCGTGTTCGTCCCGTTCTGAACGCAGGCCAAAGGGGGCATGAGTGAGCTCCCGGCAGGACCCCGGCGGGACCCCGGCGGGACCCCGGCAGGACCCCGGCGGGACCCGGCACTGTGGCAGAGTGTGGCTCCAGGGGCTGGGGAGGGGACTTTTTGCAAGATTTTCTCCCCAAACATGAAAACCCTAATGATTTTTTTCCTACCATAAATTGTCAAAAAGAGGGTGAGGTCCTGCTGCCGCCAGAGCCTGTTCCCTGTGCCGGTCTCTTCCCAGGAAGAGACCCCGGGGCAGCCCAGACCAGGGGGCACCCACGCGCATTGATGAGAATGAGGGCACCAGGCCCTCCCTGGAGGGTCAGGAGTTAGGCTGGTAAAGGGCTGGGGCGAAGTGCATTCCCTGGCCTGGGGAAACAGCAAGGAAGCGAGGATTCAAAAGACAAGCTAGAGGAAGGGCGCGAGGTCCTGGCGAGGACTCAGGTGTGAGAGTGAGCCGCAGGTAACGCCGCCCTGCACTTGAGTCTTCAGGGAATCAGGTTAGGCCCGTGGGTATTAATGAAGAGAAGCCCATAAATAAAGGTGCAGAGCAAACTGGTTTTGTGCATCAAGACAAATATTTCAAGGCCAGCTGGTATTAAGGCCAGGTTGCTGGGACAAACTTTGGTAAAACTGATTACATCAGTGCCACTGACTTATCTTCAGAAGCTACTAGATGTTATTGGTCTAGGTTTTTATGTAAATAATGACATTTTAATTATTGAAGACCATGTTAATTCTTATGTTTTTTAATTGATTTTAGATAGAGGAAGAGGGAGTGAGAAAGGGAAATAATCAGTGGGCTGCCTCCTATATATACCATGACTAGGGATCGAATCTACTACCTAGGTATGAGCCCTGACCGGGAATCGAACCTGCAGCCTTTTGGTGCATGGGACGATGCTCCAACCAACTGAGCCATCCGACCAGGGCCCATCCATGTTAATTTTTAGAATTCATTTTCCTTAGTAGTGACTAGTGATATATTAGCTTCTGCAAACAAACTTGTATAGCTCTTCATTGATTTGTTCCCACAGAAGCCTTCGAACACTTTTGAATTTACGCCTCTCTTTTGTCTTTGCTTCTTTTGAGAACTGGCTTGTATTTGTATCTCCATGCTTTGGAGTGATTGTCAGCACGATCTTCACGGGCCCTGCGGTTTCTCAGCGGAGGAGCGGCCTCTGGTCCTGCTCCGTAGTGTTCTAGCAGTCACGGAGCCAAGTCTTTGATGGGCGCTAGTAGACACGCCCGGTCTGGAATGTGTCTTGACAATGGTGCCTGGTAGGTGCCCTGAAGCATTTTGCAAAGTGTCCCAAAAAGACTGAAGAGTCCCTTTCTATCGTCACAAGAATTTGACGTGGATTTATGAAGATGATTTCAAGCTCTAGTGAAACTTTTGGGGCGGGGACAAATTTCTATCTTGTCCTATCCTTTCTGCCTGATCTGTTTATAGTAATCAAACACAGAGACGTGACCTTAAGTTTGTTTTAAACCTGGAGGTCTGTAAAATTTAAACTACTTCACAATGAAAAAAAGGGAAGTAGACCCTGCTAACTGTAGGTAATCCATTGTGTTTGCACAAACAAGTCTTCAAGGCAAAATTAGTTGTTGACAAATGTCAAAGAATATCAAGACCTTGCGTGGATCCCAGGGCTGGCATGACTCATAAGAGGCAAATTTCCATTTGTTCTATAAGCTCCAGAACCCGACTGAATGTCACTGCTAACCCAGGTGTTTGTCTGGCTCAGAAAAACAAAGGGAGCGAGCTGATGCCTGCAGCCTCGACTCTGGGCCCCCTCGCCTACCACAGTGGAATCCACACTTGGGAACAGCCCATGGGAACACCCCAGGTGGAGCTGGACAGCTCTGCCCGTGCCTGGGCTGTGCCAGCACCCACCCACACACGCAATGCCATACTTACACATTCTTGCACGTACACGCTCACACATACAAACACGTTTCACACGTGCTCACGTGGATGGCCACGTTCAGACACCGGCTCCGGCTTTCCTGCCCCTTTTCCTCTCCCACGGGCCCTGCCTGTGCATCGGACTCACCAAGGGGGTATTTCGAACCCTGACTCTCAGACCTACCCCAGGGCCTTTGCCCCAGAATCCCTGCAGGCCGGGCCCTCCGGTTCCTCCCGGTCCTAGGGTGCAGCCCAACCTCCAGTGAGAACGTGGCCTTCTGCCGACTCTTTTGCTGGGTCCCTTGCCTACAGCCAGAGGCCTCAGGGTGCAGCCTCTTCCTGGGTCCCCGGGTCCCTCCGCATATTGAGGTGCAGACAGCTCGGACGCCCCTGCACCCAGGACTTACGCTTTGCACGAGGGTTCCGCACTCGCTCCATCCAGCCACCAGGAACACGTGGGTGCTGTTGCTGTCACTCACGTTGCAGGACGGGTGTCCCAGGTACAGGGAAGACTCGGGGATGGACTCCTGCCTCAGGAAGCGCCTCTCGATGGCGATGGCCACCTTCTCGATCTCACAGAGCACCCTGACCGCGCCAGTCAGGTTCAACCTCTGGGGCAGGCCCTGGGGGGCCAGGCTGTCCCCTTGCACGGAGGCAGCCCCCGTTTCTGCTGCAGTTGGGGGCTGCTCTCGGTGGGGGGCCAGAGAAGAGTCAGGGGCCTGGGTTGTGTTGCCAGAAGAGTTGCCTGCGAGGCACGAGGAGACAAAAACAAAGTGTGGGGCTGTGTTTGGGGACTGTGATGTGAGCCTGGACAGTGAGGCCAGCAGAGGGGGCAAGAGGTGAAGGGCGGATGGGGAGCCACCTGTGCCCTGCAGGAGCAGGCACTGGGAACGGCACGTCCCAGCCACGGCCGCACGCACGCACGCACGCACACATGCGCTGCACGTTTCTGCCAGCCCGGGCAGCTGGGCTTGGCCTGCATCCCCATGGGCCCTGCTGGGTCAGGAAGCTGGGGGACCCCCTGCCCTCCCGGCCTCTCTGTGAGTCTGATGCACAGCCTGACGCTGGTCACATGCCAAGCCCGTGGACTTGAGACACGCTATCTACCCTCGGGGGTCCCCAGGTCCCGTCTTTAAGATGAGTTAATGAAGTTTACTCTCGGAATCCTTGAGTTTCTCACTGCTGCTCCAGCTTCCTGCTTCCCCCAAAGCACACTTGGTTTTACCCTCTAGGGGAATGAAGAGGCTCCTCAAAGGCGACCACCATTTTCCCTGGGCTCCCTCCCTGGACTGTGTGAAGCAGACCCAGAACACATCTTGTCCTGGCCGCTGGGCCCAACTCTGTAGCCTGGCTCCCTTGCCTGCCGCCCTGGCACCTGCCTTCTCTTGTCTCAAGGTGCAGGACTCACCCATCACTCGGCCGCCTCACTTGGCTCTGCCTGCCTCCAGGATGCCGTTCAAATCTCTGCTCCTGGTGCTTGTAGCCTTCTCAACTGACCTCACCCACCGTTCTTGGCAGCCTGCCTCCCAGTCCCTCCCCCCATGTGGTGTGTGCAGACATCCACGCTGCAGCCAGCCCAGCTGCGTGCTTGGGCCTTGCTCACCTTCAACAGCTCTGTTCTCACCACTGCCCCCACCCACCACGGCCTGCCTCATCACAGCCCCTTCTGCCCAGTGCTGTCTTAGCCATCTTTTAAGACCAGCTCTAAGACACTTCTTCCAGGAAGCCCTCCCTGACTACACACATGGGGCTGAAACATCTCCTCCAGGCCTCCCGCTTCTGCTTCAAGTGGTGCACATCCCATATTCCCTGTGACACTGTATTTATTTGTATAAGCATGTCTCCCTCCAGCTAACTGCAGGTCCTGGATGGCAGGCACTATCTCTGAGTCAATGCCGAATCCACTCAGGCCCCACAGAATGGGGAAAGCACTGAGTGAAAAGAGGAGCTGAGCAGAAACATTTCCTGCCTGTTGCTTGTCCCATGGGCTGCACGTTTTACAGGATCATGTGTGATCCTGTAAAAAACCTCGGGTCATGTGTGTGTTTTCTCACCTTGGTCATCAGAAGCAGCATTTGGGGGAAATGGAGCACCACCCAGCAGGCTAGAGTTCTGTGGGAGAACGTGAAGGGACAGCGTGCGCACCCATGTGTACAAAGACATGCATGTGCATGCACACGTGTGTACACACACCCACATATGTATACATGCACGTGCGTGCACACCTCATGCGAGGAAACGTGCCCAAGACATAAAAATAGGCTGACCCAATTTGGAAAAGAAGTGCTTTTCGTCTTTTAAAAGAATGGACTATCTAACAGTACTCCGGAAAAGGGGCTGTGAGGATATTACCTTCACAGGGTCTTCCAGAATATTCTACAAGGGCGTCGGAGGTGCCACCCATGCAGCTGCACGTAAAAGACCCGAGGGTGTTGAGACAGGATGTGCCCGGTTCACAGTCGTCCTCCCTCCACTCACACTCGTCGTAATCTGTGCGACATTTAGGGAACAAACAGGAGCCCTTCTCAGCGGGCTTGAGGGGCGCAGGGGGAGGAGTATCCCAGCCAGCCGCGTCAGGCAGCCTTCTGGAAAGTGTGCCTCGGAGAAAGCTGGAAGTCAGCAAATGACAGCTAGGAAAGCCAGTTCTGGAGAGTTCTGGGGACAGGCGCGGGGTGGGGGCAGGCGTCAGGGAGGCTGCAGGGGCTGCTCCGGGAGGAGGGTTCCGGGTCCCGGGCTGGGACGGGACGCTGGGCAGAGCAGGGCCACCTCAGAGCAGCCAGGAGGCGCGCAGGCCCCCGCCCAACTCCTGGCCTCAGGCAGAGGGCCAGGCAGCAGGAAGGCCCCCAGCCCACCTGCCTTTCGTCCCCCAGCTCAGTTGTTCACTGTTAACAGTGATGCAGACTTACTGAAGCAAATGGAAATGAGCCGCAACAGCTTAGCGAAGAACACGAAACCTGCCCCTGAGATCACCCCCACGTGGGACGTGGGACGTGGGACGCTGTTTCAGGCTGCGTATCTCGTCCTGGCCCTTTAATACAGTGTAGCCTACGACACGGCCGAGAGCGTGTGCTGTCCGCTAACGTGAGTCCTGCTTTCCGCCTCGTCTCTTCGTCAGGAATACTTCTGTCTCGGCCAACCTCGATTTTAATCCTTGCGTAACAGCCTGTGGCACGGTCATGCCACAATTTACTTAACCTTTTCCCTATTTGGGGACTATGGGTGATTGCCAAACCTTGCCTTTTAAAGAAACACTGAAGGTGGATATCTTTGGGTATAAACGATGGTTTCCCTTGTGACCTATTTCCTTAGGACGGAGTCCCAGAAGTGACCTTCCAAAGTCAAAGTGGAGGGACATTCTTACAGCTCTCGATGAACATTGTCGAATTGGTTTCCAGGGAGCATAAACTTCTATTCCCACCCTCACAACACGTTCACCAATGTTATTGTTTTTAAAAATTGCTCTTAGGCAGGATACAAGAGCCACTCATTTTAGTGGGATGCCTTTGGTTACAACATTTTTGTTAGTCGTTTATGTTTCTTCTTTCATATATTGTCCATTTGAGACTTTTCTGCATTTCTCTGTCAGGTTCTTAATATTTTATTATCAATGCATGTGATCTCTCTATATATTTATGGTATAATTCTTCATCAAATTATTGACATTTCGTTTTGGTTCAGTACTTGCTTTAAAACAGTGCCTTTATGTTGACAAAAAAATTACATTTTTTTGGAGTCAAATATTCCGGCTTTTTCTTCTATGGGCTTGTTTTCCTTCTGCTTTTAAACTTGGAAAACTTTCTCATTTCAAAAAGTCAGAAAAATATTCATCTGTGTTGTCTTTGATTTTTTTATACATGTGACTTTCATCACTTATTTTCAAGTAGGATGTGTGCTGTGGACTGACTTGCACCTCCTCAAAGTTCACCTGTGGAAGCCCTAACCCACCGTGTGACAGCAGGTAGGGCCTTGCGGAGGTAATTAAGGTTTGATGAGGTCACGGAGGTGGGGTCCTGATCTGATGGGACTGAGGTCCTCCTAAGAAGAGACACCAAGGGCCTCTCCTTCTGAGGACACACGTCAGAAAGAGGGGCTACATCAGAAGCCAGGTCAGCTGGCCCTTGACCTTGGCCTTCCAGCCTGCAGATCTAGGAGGTAACCATCTGTGGTATAAGCCACCCGTTGGCGGTATTTTGTTATGGCAGCTCGAGCCAAGACAATATGAAAAAAGAATCTATGTTGCCATTTCTCCCTGCTTTTCTTTTCAATGATTTTCTCTAGGATCTCCTTGGCAACTGTGCCTGGCAGGAAGTCTGGCTGCAGAGAGGGGCCCATCTGCCCTTGGCCCACGGAAATGGGCACCCGGTGGGGGGGGGGGGGGCGCGCGGGGGCAGGACGCAGCCTGCATCGAGGGAGCAGCGCCTGGGGCTCTCTGCGGGTTTGCCCGAAGGCGTCCTCAACCCTTAGGTCTTAAATGAAACAAACGAAAAACAACAAAATAAGATAGTAGCGATAAATGAGAGGAGGGTCTCCCCTGTTTCCCATTTTCATCTAAGACAGGGAAGCCCTGAGGAGGAGGCACCGGACGACCCCTTCCGGAAACAAAGGCAGTCACTAGGCTCTCGCTGCCTCTCATTCCAGGCCCAGCGAGCCGCCCATCAGGCCGGACCGCCACGTACCCCAAATGGAGGCGTCGCCGCTGACCACCTCCAGCAGGGAGGCGTTCTGGAGGGCGGCGAGGACGGCGGCTGACACTTCCTGGACATGCAAGTCCGCGACAATCAGCAGGTTGAACTCCACGACGACGCTGCCATTGGAGATGCGGGTCACCTCCATCCGCACCCCGCCGGCGTCCAGGTGCTGACGCATGGTGGGTGACAAGGAATCCCGCACCTTTGGAGAAACAGAGCTGGTGAGGAGAGCTGCCCGAGAAGAGACGGCACCCTTGCCCTAAGGCGGCTCCTCCTGGGATTTCAGCTCCCCGCAGGGCTGGCCTTGGCAAAAAGGTCAAAGCCACAGATCAGCTCTGGCCCCAGTCCCAGGGCCTGGGGGGCTGAGATTCTGAGAAGAGCCTGTTGGCCCCTAACCAGCCAGTCAATATGGGATTGGATGCAAAAGCCCTACCCTGGCGGCCTGTCACTTACAAGGAGCTCACAATGGCACTTAGGATCTGCTGCCAGGAGCTCGGAGCCAGGGCAGGCAGGGGTCGAATGAGTGGTCGTAGGGAGGGACACTACCTTCCTCACTTTGTCTTTTCTAGAACCTTTCCCCTCCATTCTTCCCCTCCACCTTTCCAAAACCGGCTTCCCCATGAGCGCCCCTGCTGGGACAGGCTGTTCCTGCCTCTTGAAGGCTTGTTCTTCATTCTGTCACTTTGGGCAGCACCTTACACCACCCACCATGTCACTCCAGTGTCACCCAGGGAGACACATGACACAGCAATGCCCTGTTGGGAGGCCGTGCCATAGACATCTTCCGCGGAAAGGGCACCTCCAGGCCCTGCCCTCGCAGAGGGACCTCTGCCTCCTCTGCACTGTAGGGGGTGCTCAAGGCACAGCCTTGGGACAGTCGCCCCAGCAGGTCCACTGTCACCCATCAGAGGCTGCAGAGGCCCAGAGTGACCAGGAGCTGTCTGTAGTCACGTGGCCGACATTATTACCCTTTGAACAGTCAGCTCTTACCTATCACCTATTCTGTCTGTCTATCTATCCACCCATCTATCTGTATATGTGAATATCTGTGTGTGTGTGTGTGTGTGTGTGAGTGTGAGTGTGTGTGTGTGTGTGTGTGTGTGTGTAGCTATCTCTCCCTCCTTCTCTCTCTCTTTTGCTCTTCTGGGACTTCCTAAGAGCGATCGGTCACAGTCTTGGACTAATGTTACCTTTAGTTGCTTTTCAAACCAGTCTCAAACCAAGTTCCAGGCTCCTTTCTAGGAACTCACAAAAAACAAGGTGCTCAATTAAGCCCCAACTTCTCAAAGTCTGTCTTAAAATCCTACATACGAGTGGCACAATTATTTGCTATCCTGAAATACTAGACAAACACCCCCCCCCAAAAAAAACAGTCCCCCAAAATAAGCAAAAGAGGAAAAGGTTTAATGAGAAAAAACTAATCAAGAAACTCAGAGCAGAAACGGAGCTCCCCAACGTAACCACTAGAGCACTGTGGGCGGATTTCGGTTTTTGGTTACATCGTGTGTAACTATCATCTGACCTAAAGAAGACAGGTACATGAGTGCATCCAACTACCCACAACTCTGGAATCCATGCACGGGGCCAGGATAAATAATATGGGATCCCACGTCCCCAGGAGCCCCAGTTGGACAGTCTCCAGAGGCAACGGGACTGTTTTTATCACTCAGTAATGTTGACAGGGATAAACAGAGTCAAAGGCAGGGCCACCTGCATTGCTAAGGCACCACACGCCATGACGCCCCACCACGGGACAGTGCCACAAACTCTCGCTCCTCTGTGTTGTCAACCCCCAGAATAAGGAGAAGCCAAAATACGTGAGATTTTTCCTGTGCAAATAAGATCACTAAGCCGTGACAAGCATGTCCTCTATTCAGCCAGGGTACTCCAATTGCCGTCAAAAAGAATATTGAGATTGCTCCCCTGACTAAATCGCAGCAATATACCATCCCGAAGAATGCTGCAGGGATGGCAGAAGGCGGCGCAAGGAAGAGCAGGAAAAGTAATTTTTTAAGGTAAGGGGTAACGGCAGCACTATTCACAACAGGCCAACACTGGAAACACCCCAAACATCCATCAGGGAGCGAATGGATAAACAAAATGTGATAGAATAGTCCAGCCATGTTATAGAATGTTATTCAGCCATGAAAAGGAAGGCGGTTCTGATGCTGCTACAGCACGGATAAACCCTGCAGACAGGATGCTCAGTGAAAAACATCCAGGCACAAAAGATGACATATTATATGATTCTATTTCTATGAAATGTCCAGAATGGGCAGATTCAGAGAGACAGAAAGCACCTTGGTGGCTGCCAGGGGGAGGCAAATGACTACCAATGGGTAGGGGTTTTTGGGAGGATGAGAAAATGTTCTAGAATTAGAAGTTGGTGACAGTTGCACAATTTTGCAAACACAAAACTGAGTTTTGTGGTTTGTGAAATAAATCTCAATTTTTTAAAAAAGTATTCTCGTATGGCAGGGGAGGGGCTGTCTGCTTCAAGGGGTCCCACTTCAATAAAGTTTCACCACACAGGGAGCAGCGTGAGGCAAGTGTTCAGCAGAGGAAAGGAGTGCCCCCCATCTACTGATGTGTCTGTTCAGTGGCAGCCCCAGGAACACCCAGGCACCACGCCAGAGCTGGGAGTCCCAGCTTCCTTCAGAAAAATGGCGTCCACCGCGCCTTCAGGTCCAAGTCCCGCTTGGCAGCAGTTAGGATTCTACCCACCTGCCTCCTTCACATCCCACAAGGAAATAAAGACGATTTCGCCAACTTACCATTCTGAAGAATAGCGCTAGGAAATCCCGGGACTCCTTGCTGCTGGCATTGCGGAAGGATTCTGAATACCTGACGTTCGCTATTCTGACTGTCCCGCTGAGCTTCTGGGCGGCTGCAGGGGGAAGAATAAACATGTTTGGAAGAGGAGTGTATTAGGGAACAGATGACCACACCTATCTTAAAAACAGCATTTTCATGTTGGCCAGGGAGAACATCAAACAGGCTGGCGCGGACTCTACAGAGAAGGAACAGCACCCAACACTTGCAGACACAGCCCACCAGGCTGGAGGACACAGGGACAAAACCTGGGCACAGAGGGAGAACTTTCTGGAGGCCGTGGAAGCTGCTCTGCCCCTGCAGCTCGCTCCTCCCTGCCTGCGTAGTCACCTGTGCACAGCGTGTCCAGGTAATTTACCAGAGAGCGGAGACAACTTTGAGAGTGAAAGGAGGCACTAGTAGTTCACTGTACCAGGGCCTCAAGTGCATACTGTCTGTCCCTGGCAAACCTGGACGCAGGGTGGCCTTGCCGTGCCTTTCTCAGAGCCCTCGGCCCACGACAGAGTGCCCAGAGGTCCTGACATACCACGTCTTCCCCCTCCCTGACAGCCCTGTCACGCTGCGGTTTAAGGGCAGCCCTTGTCCTCGAGCCGGCCGTTTTCACCGGCATCTTTTCCTCCGCATAGGACTTCTAGGATGCATGTTACGGAACTGGCCCCGGAACGTCGCCTGGCCCCGCCTGCCCCCAGCATGGCAGCCAGCTCAGGTCTCATCCAGCCCTTCACCAGGTATCTGTGAAGCCCCTCTTGTGGGCCGGGCTCTCCCACGGGGAGCTGAGAGTCCCTCCCCCAGGAGCTGGTGGCCAACGGTGTAAGACGAACCACAAACCACAAATGTGTAGTCGCACTACGCATTCCGGGATGAGCCCAGACCCCATGTCCTCAGGCCACTGCTGCCACTGTGTCTGAGGGTTACCAGTCCAGACTCGGGACAGCCAGGGCATCTAAAAAACCATCAGGAGCAGGACAGGTACACGGGTGCAAGCGGGCATGGACCTGCGCCATGCTCCGGCAGCTCCTCCCTCTGAGGGTGAGGCTTCAGAGGCCAGACTGACCCTGACTTGGGGCTGCCCTGCCTGACCGAGCAGCCGACAGCGACCTCCCCTTCTCCAGCCCCCATGAACTCACTCAATAGCACCATCGAACACCTTCTATTTCCCAGTCATGGCCAATTAGAACTTTAAAGCATATAAACAAACGTTCTAAACTTTCCTGACTGCACCCCTGAAGGTCACCATAGGCATCTCCCTAGGGGCGTGCACCCCACCTTGGAGACGACCTCCATCCACTCCCGAACAACCGCCCAGATCTGAGGACTAACTGGCAACATCAGGCCTGCCTTCAAGGAACAAATGCTAGTGAGGAGAAAAGGGGAATTTTATCTGGATGTATAACTATGATCAGCCATCAGCTGTGCCTTATCAGAGTCTATGTGTGATTTGTTCGATGCTGTTCCCACCCCTTTTACTCTGCAGCTCCAGGCTCTGGGGGGGCCATTCACAGACCTGCTGTGGGTCCAACTGTCTGTCCAGGTCCACTGAGAGTGAGAGTGATCAGAAGGAACGGGTGACGCTCGATAGACCTGCGCCACCCACGCCTTCCCACACGGAGGACACAGCAAATGTCTGCAACCTCATGGGCAGACTCTGGAGCTCTTGCAACCCTGACTCTTCGCTCACCATCACCCAACACCTTTTCCTGAAATGAGTCACCTTCTGTCTGGCTGTCCCATGACAGCCGAGTATGAAGTGAGACAGATGTGTCTGTGTTGAGAAGCCAATGGTCACCCAGCAGCCCGCAAGTAAACCTAGCTCTTTCAAACCTTCACCCACCGAAAACCTTTGTCATGCATTCACCCTCCTTTTAAAAACCCATGGCAATTAGCGTTTCCGAAACCCATTACCTGTCCTCACTTTCAGGTGTGTCCCGGCACTTTCTTTCCCACATGCTTTGGCCACTATCTCAACCAGGTACAAGACGCCGGGCTCCAGGCCCCACAGCTGCAGACTCGCATTCTGGGTCTCCAGGTGCACAGCGGGGCTCCGCGTGGACATCAGGGTAAGCTGGAAGGTGGGGTGCAGGGCGAGATCTGCCACCCATGCCATGTGAAAGCTGGTGCTGGTCACGTTGGAGACTGTGACCCTTCCGATGGGGGCGGGAACTGGGAAGGGGATATAAACACTGAGATTACAAACACATGTCCAAGGAGAAAGGAAAGAAGCAGCTTCATCCAGTGCTAAACTCAAACGCACCGCTCGGGACATAAGGCATCCTGAGGGGACAGCAGCCCAGAGAAGTCCTGTGCAGTCTCCCTCCTGCAAGTAGAGCGTGTGGGGGTGCAGGATCCCTACTTAGCACCCCTAGCCTTTCAGTTTGGTGTCTGTCCCTGAGGTCCCTAGACTTCCCAAAATGAAGGCCCCTTGAGCAGATTGTGGGCGGCTCCTCCAGCGAAGTTGTCCCCCGCAACCCCTGGGCGGACTCCGAGGAGCCAGCATGGTGGCCACCGCGGGCTTCAGAGCCACTCTCACGGGGGGCCCCGGGGCGCTCGACAGTGCTGGTTTATGCAGGCCTGGCCGTTCAGGCTGGGAACCTGCACAGCTCAGCAGATGAGATGCGCTTGACAGCGACTCCCACGGTCGGGCCAGCTCCAGCGGCTCCCACCGGGAGGCCGGCGTGGCCTCCCGGTGGGAGCCGGTGCAGCCGGGGCACCTCCTGTGCAGAGCTGTCGCGCAGGGGCCTTGGCGCTGGCTCAGCCCTGTACGTGTGATGTGTAACGTGGAGCGACGGGGGACAGCGCGTCGGGGGACAGCGCATCTGGGGACAGCACGGCCGAGGGCCGCACACTTAGGGGCTGCCCAGTGGGGGTCGTGCAGGAACGGGGAGCCCAACACTGCTGGGGGATGTGTCCCGGAGCTTATGGTGACACATGGGCCTCACAGTCTCCTCCAGATGCCTGAATTCTTGCCCCAGCTGTGGGCAAATGGGAGGCTTTGGGACAAGGAGAAAGGGCTGGAGAGAACAGACAGAGCCCTTGTCCTAACCGGACCAGACGCCGGCCGTCCCAGGGCAGAGCTGCTCTGCGCCCCAGGGTGCCGAGCCTTAAATTGAGAAATCCACCTCAGTGTTCCCGAAAGGTCTTTGACCTGACAAGTGCATGAGTTTTTGTCCCTGGAACTCATGCAAACCACGTGGTCGCACACGTCCCCAGGATTCCAGGCACTCACCACAGGCCAGGGGCTTCAGAGACACAGGGGTGGAGGCCAAAGGCAGGTCTAGGGTGCTGGAGTGTCCAGGGTCTGTGTTCTGTGTCCACGTGGGGTCCAGGGGTGCCGGCGGTGTGCCCGCCGTGGGGAGGCTGGCGTGCCACGTGTGGCCTGTGGGGCCTGCAGCAGGGATGGGCCAGGTGTGCGGCTCTGCAGTGGAGTTTCTCAGCGACCCACTGGGGGCGTCCACCAGGCCTTCCGTGGCCCCGGGAAGGGAGCTGTGTGTTGGCCTGGGAGCCCTGCTGGCTGTCCACTGGCTCGTCCCCAGGCCCGGGGCCTCATCGAGCACACTCTCCTCTGTGCCTTGCCCTGTGCTGTTTCCGTCCTGCTTGACTGTGCCACTGTCCTCTCTTCGGGGCGGGGTCCCTGGGGTCTGGGCCTGGCCTGCTGCAGGGGTGCCCCATGGGCGCCCGGGGCTGGGTGACCAGGAGGGGGTTCCCAGGCCAAGGGCTGCTGTTTCTGAGCTGAGAGCTGGGCCTGTTACCCGTGTCACCGGTGGCCAGGCACCTTCCATGGAGCTCACCACGTCACCTGCTGGGACACATCCACTCTCAGATGGGGTGTCTTGTCCAAAAACATCTGAGCAAAGCCCACCAGATGCCACCCATGGGCAAGAGCCCCCCAAGTGGGAACACAGGCTGTTTCAGTTGGTGACTCTCAACGTTTAGTGTGGCCGCCACTCAAGTGACCCTTGTGGAGAACCAGGAGGAGCCTCCCCACTTAATAAATGAGGACACTGAGACCCCAAGGGTAGGGGTGCACCTAGGGGCTGCAGAACCAGGACAGGGATGCAGGCCTCGGTTCTTGCAGGCCTCCGGTGAATCCAACCAGCCTTTGGGAAATGGGGCAATGTCCCCAGATGCGTGCTCAGCATGGGGCGCAACCCTGGCCTCCGTCAGCCGCCTGCTGGGCAGCGCATGATTAAGAAGAAGATGGGAGAAGAGAAGCTTCGTGGATGTGAGGAGGCGGGACCAGGTCCACGGCCGGTTAGGACAGAGTTCCTTCCCAGGGAACAGGCCTCGGCTCCGGCTTCCAGCTAGAGGCCTTCGCCGGGCTGGCAGGGGCAGCCAGACGCCGCAGGTGCCCAGCCCACGTCCGGCGCAGATGCACCGAGTCCAGCCAGCACTGCGTGTCTGCACGGGCCTCCTCCTGCCTCTCGCCTCAGCCCTCCAGGTAGCCCCACCAATCAATTGGAACAGGCCCCCCCCCAAAAAAAACTCAAGGCAGAGCTTTTTGGCCCTACACCAGGGCCCTCTCCACACGTGCCTGGGCTGCTACAGCTCCTTGGGCGCCAGGCGCCCTGGGGGGACCCCTCCTGAAGGCTGCACTATGACTTTCATGAACCTTTTGTCCATAATAGTTCAAAATTGCACTGGTATAAAGATTGGATTCATGACTGATATTCACTATTATTATATTAAGTTCTTTCCTTTGATTTTAAAAGAAATTAAAATGGAAACCATTCCTTGAGTTCCTAACAATATCCTGGGCCCCGAGCCCTGTGCCCCTCGTGCTGATGGAGAAGTGGGCCCTACCCCACGCCCAGGTCCCCGGGGTGGGGGCCCCGCCCAGAGCTGGGGGAAGCGGGGGCGGGGGGCACGTACCTGCGCAGGCACGGCCGGCGTGGGAGGGGTTGGCGTCCCTGGCCGTCAGGCACCGGCAGGTGTAGGAGCCCTCGAGGTTGATGCACCGGGCGGCCGGCGAGCAGTCGTGCTCCAGGCTGTCTGCACACTCGTCCCAATCTGCCAGGGGGACAGGAGGACAGGAGCCGGTGAGGAAAGGGCAGAGGCTGCCCAGAAGAGGGATGGGCACAGAGCCGAGTTCCTCCTGCCTTTGCCGCGAACGGCCCAAAGGACGAGGCCAGAACTGAGGGACGTGCCCACGGCGTCCAGCACCTGTGGGAGGGGGTCCTGCACGGACCCTTCCCTGGACGCCTGAACTTGAGCCACGGCCACAAGCTAAGCACCTGCCTGCGCTGACCCTCACCGTTGGCTGGCTGGTTTGAGAGCAAACATTGGGGGATGCTGGTTACTTTTGGAGGTGTTAGCAGCCACAGGGGAATATATTTCTCCCTTGTTTATCCTTTGTTCCAAGACACACATCACTTTGATGTGTCAATATCCCCTTGATAGTCAGTGTTTCAAGAAAGAAATAGGAAAATGACTGGGTCAGATGTCCAGGTACGTCTAACATGAGCCTTCCTTGACACGGGTAGGAATGGCCCTTGAGCACCTGCTCTGGGAAATGACTGTAAAGCCCCACAGATCCCACGTCACCAGGAAGCCCTGACTCCTCTGATTCGGGCAAGGAAGGGCGTTAGGTAAGTCCCCACCCACCCCTGTAAAACACCCCAGGGCCCCCAGCCTGGGGCTCGTCCACCCACTTCTGGGCCAGCCCTGCCTTTTCCAATCAGCAGGCAGCCGGGACTCGCCTTAGGCCAAAGTGAGAAACAAAATTCACCAGGAGCACCGCTCCCTTGCTTCCTCTCACCCTCTTCCCCCTCTTTTGTGCACCTCGAGGGCTGCCACGCCTACCCCTGTACCTGCTATGAGAAAGAATCTGATGGTCCTGTGCGTTTTGACCCAGGACTCATCAATACAGTGCTACATGCAATAAGTATGATAAACCTAAAGGGATATCTCAAACTGTTTTTCAGGCTGTGGGGAGCTGGGGGGAGCTGGGGTGGGAGGCAGCTTTCCCACTTCCCCAGAATCCCACCCTCCAGCCCAGCCCCAGCTCTTTGGGTCACTACCTAGCCCACCTCCCCTACCCCCAGGGAAACAGGTGGCTCTGAACAGAGTCACCTTTGCTAGCAGGGCAAGCTGGGGCCCCGGGGAGGGGGCTGGATTTCCCAGGGCGGGGGGCTGTGAGGCCCTTCCCCACATGCCCACTGGAGCCTGGGGCAGAGCGCCCGATCCATGCCCAGCGCACCCGCGGAGCCGGGCTTGGCTGGGATTCAGGCAAGATAAGGGACGGGTTCAGTTCCATGCAGAGAAAACTCTGTAGCCAAGTGCTCGGAGGCCCGTTTTGTCATTTTCAGTTTTGCTTTATGTGATCCCCATGGAAGCAGCTCCCTGGAGACCAGGGAGCTCACTCATCAGGTGATGCAACACACACACACACACACACACACACCCGCCCCCCTGGCCGGGGCTTTTTCCCAGACAGGGCCCTGCTGGCCTGGCCCCGAGATGTCCCTGGAACCCTGCCCAACCTCCAGCCTGCGGGCAGCTCCAGGGTGCTGGGGGCTGGAAGCTGGACGCCAGGGACAGAGCCCAGGATGGGCCCTGAGGACAGCGAGGTGCCCATCGAGACCTGGGCTCAAACTGGCTGAGCCCCTGGTGGCTTTTTTCAGTGCTGGTGACCCCCCTCGCCTTTGCTCCCCCGGAACACAGTTCGCGAGCGAGCCAAGTAAAGCAGCCCCAGCTTTGGCCTTATAGTAAAGCCCCAGGCCAGAAGGTTGATCAGTTCAGAGGGAGGAGGCAGGTCTGCGAGCAGAGCCACCAGGTGGCCCCTGCACCTCCTGGACTGGCCAGACAGGGACACAGGCAGGAGTCCCATGGAGGAAGCTATGCTCTGCTCCTGCTGGCCTTGAAGCTGGTACAAGGGTGTCGCCCACCTCCCACAAGAAGGGGACAGCCACCTCGAAGCTATGACTCCTGGTACAGAAGCCCCCCACCCTGGGAATGAGTTAGGGAGGCCTGAAACCAGGCCCCTGGGTCCCGGAAAGGGCAGGCTCCTCACAAGGGTTCACACTGGGGCCCGGGTGCCCTCCTTGGGAGGTGACATGTGGGCCAGAACCCTTGTCTCACCTGAGGACCAGAATCAGATTCACACTTGAGGGAAAGTGCAGGCCCGGAGAACCTGGTTCTAACTGTACCACGCCCCAAACCTAGACAAGAGGCAGCACCACTGAGTGTAGAGAAAGAGGCCACACCAGCAGGCCAGGTGGACGGCGGCAAGGTCCCTCTGCTCATGCCCCTCTCCCACTGCTGTGTAACAGTGGGGAATTGGAACCCAGTCCACCATTCTTTTGACATTGTTTCTGTAAACGCTGACTCTGGCTAATATGGAGCTTGTAGATGAGCAGCATGTTTGTATAAGAATCCTAAGAACTAACTTCAAAAGATACAGATTCTGACCTTCAGTCATCCCAGCTCCGGGAGGTTTGCTGACCTTCAACCATGGAGCCAGGATGAGGGAAAACCAGGATGATGGGAATACAGGATGACTAAACCAGGGTGACACAAAACCAGGATGATGTACGCCAGACAATCGCTTGATCAGTTTCAAGGTCCTTATCGGAATGGACAGTGCTCAGCGGCACGTAGAGAACTTTTCAATCCCCTCCCCTGGTCTTTCTGTTCTGCTTTCCCTCTCTCTCCCGATAAAAACCTCTCCCTGCACTGAGATGTTAAAGTGGCTTTGAGACGTGAGTCCCCCATCTTTCCAGGTTGCTGGCATCTGAATAAATAACTTTCCTTCTCACCAGCACCTGTCTCATGAGTTTGGCTTTCATTGCGGCAGGTGGTGGGACCTGCGTTCGGTTACAATTTTTGGCAAGCCCTCGGCGCAGAACACTGAAGCACAGGGGTCCACGTGGAGGTCTCGTGGAAGCCCGGTGTCATCGCCACTGAGAGCAAATGAGCACCATGGTCCTTCCCGGGAGAGATCTTAAGGGACAGAGGAGGCAGGGGCAGGAGAAAGGGGGACAACGGGAAGCTGCAGGGAGGAGCCCCTTGAGGAGGAGGGCCAGTGGGGGCATAGGGGTCACTGGAAGACCTTCCAGGCCTGAGAACTCAACTGCGATGTGGATGTTGATCCTAGAGAAGAGCTAACCTGAAATGTGGCCGTCTCCTGGATGCCAGGTCCTGTGCTAAATCCCACGCCTGCACTGCCCCTTAATTTACACAACAGCCCAAAGGACTGGGATGTGTTACAGTCTCCCCATTTCCCAGGTGAGCACACAGAGGCCCAGGGAGATGAAGCGTCCAGTGCAGGGTCCCACGGCGAAGGAGCGTCGGAGCCGGGCTTGCAGCCTTTCTGCCTCATGCCGCAGCCGTGGCCCACCTGCCGTGGCACGCCTCCTCCTCCAGGGAAAACCGCGCAGGCCCTGGGCCTGCTCAGCAGCTGGGCCTCCTCACACAGGGCTCACCCCTCCTGACATGTGGCCACCCAGTGACCCCAGGATGGAGGGCCTCGGGGAGAAGAGATGAGGTCAGGACGTGACCCCTCACTATTGGGACTTACTGACTCACAGGCAGCGAGTGTGCCCAGATGATCCAAGAACGCTCTGGCGATGCCAACAATATCATTTCTGTGTGAGCCGCAGAGGAAAGGGGCCCTTGCTGCGCTGGTTTTCTGTACAATAAAGGTGCTCCTCCCCCTGTTGCTGGCCCGGGGGTCTGGGGCCTCTCAGGAGGGCAGAACGCCCTCCCCACATGCAGGCCCAGGCCTGTGCTGCCTCCGCAGGGGGTGGGGGTGGCTCTGGCCCAGCAACTGTCCTGCGGGCTCCGGTGTCAGAAGCCAGTGGTGACCGGGTCAGAAAAGTCTGCACAGGCAGGGCACTTCCCCCACCAACAAACAGCCCAAGGCCTCTTGGGGCCGGGCCAAGGGCAACTGCCTGCACAGGGGTGCCTTCCCGGCCTCCCCTCTGCTCCAACATGTTACGCAAGCAGCTCGCTGTGTGTCAGGAATGCTGCCGGGCGAGTCTTCTCGGGGCTCTTCCCTTCTGAGGGGCCTCCGCAACCCCTTGGGGGCTTCACAACAGTTTGCTGAGATCCCTAGAATGTCAGCCTGGCGAGGTGCTTCTTCTTCCTCTGTGTGAGTTTTCTGAGGCTACGTAACGAATTACTACAAGCTTTTAAGCTGGCTTAAAACAACAGAATTCAGCCTTGACCGGTGTGGCTCGGTCGGTTGGGCATCGGTCCATGAAACGAAAGGTCACCAGTTCAGCTCCCGGTCAGGGCACATGCTTGGGTTGTGGGTTTGGTCCCTGGTCGAGGCGCGTAGAAGAGGCAACCAATCGATGTTTCTCTCCCTCTGGTTCGCCCTCCTTTCCCCTTTCTCTACCCAACGGCATCCCCTCTCGCAGCTCCAGAGGCCAAAGTCCAAACTCCAGGGGTCAGTGGGACCAGGTCTCCTCTGAAGGCCCCCGGGGAAGGTCCTTCCCTCCCCCTCTGGGAGTTCAGGGCTTCCTAGGTTTGTGACTGCGCCACTCCATCTTCACGTGACCTCTCCCCTCTTTCCCTGTGTCTTCTCTTCCGTCTCTCCTGAGGATACTCGTCACTGGATTTAGGGCCCACCCTCATCCAGGATAATTTCTGATCCTACTTAATGGCATCTGCAAAGACCTCTCTTCCAAATAAGGTCCCACTCTGAGGCTCTGTGTGGACATCACTTTTGAAAGCCACCGTTCAACACACTGCCTCATTTGACAAAGGTCTGGAATAACCCAAGCCCTGGGGCACAAGGCCACCTCTGGGAAACGGTGCCCGAAGGGCCGCTGGGTCACCTGCACATGGCTCCTATGTGGTCTCTGGTGGGCCTCAAGGACCCACCCACAGCACAACCAGTGCCTGTCAAGTGCAAAGAGCCACTGCCATCTCCATCCCCGAGGGACTGAGTGACAGCAACCACTAGGCTAAGCAGGCAGGCGTGACTTCAAGTGTAACACTGTGTTGGCCTTCCTTTTCATTCTTGGGTGGGGGAGGGTGGGACAGCAAGCCAGCCCAGGACAGAGCTCAAAGGAGATGACACAGCTCATTCTTGGACCCAGCTCCACTGAGGGGTCAGAAGGACGCCCATTCCACAGATTGAGCCCCGAACAGGCTCGCCGATGTAGAGATCACGGGCGTCTTCCCTGTGCAAGGGAATTTTATCTCTGCGTTTGAAAGACAAAGCCTTCCTTACTCGTCAATTCTTACTCTCTCTCTCTTTGTCTCTCTCTTTCTCACCTCCCCCAGTCCCCTCTTCTCCCATCCCTCTCTGTCTCTTGGTGTGTCTGTACCTCTGACTCGGTCTCTCTCTTACCTCCCCCTCATCTCTCTGTCTCTTTCTGTGTCTCTGTGCCCCCCCCATCTCTCTCTCTCTCTGTTTCTTGGTCTCTTTTCCTCATCCTTGACCTGTGACTTCCTGCCCCAAGGCAACACCAAGTGAAATTGCATAACCTTTGCCTATTGGAACAGACCCCCATGTGGGTGAGTCACGCAGCAGGGAGGCGGGACTTGGGTGCTGACAAAGACACAGTAAGCTCCCGTCCTCTTCCCGTAATGGGCCCTCCAGCCCAGCTGCACCCTGAGCTCTGGGTTTGTGGCAACTGAGAGACACCCTCAAGTTCCCTGGGCTCTTTGGGTCACCTTTCCCTTCCAGAACAGCAGGCACTGAAGGCAAGTGGGCTCACTATTTGGGAGCTGCAGCCCTAGGCCCCAGTTTCCGTGGAGTCAGACAGCATGAGGGCTCAAATTTCACTCGCCTTATCTTTCTTTAGGAAGAAAGTCAACATTGACCCGAAACACTGCAGCATGAACGTTAGGGGGCCCCTTGGTGGCATGCTTGAGGTGTGGGGAGGTGACCTACCTTGCACCAGCGTCCCTGTCTGGTCTATCTGGAACACTCTGCTCGCCCACAGCCGTGGGAGCATGGGGGCCAGTGTGGAGACCCCCACTGGGAAGTCGGGGTCCCACACCGTCACTCGGAGCCTCACGACCACGCTTCCGGCCTGGAGCGCCTCGATCTGCAGCCTCAGCTTCCCCATCCTGTGCAAGTCAGACACGGCCGGCGGCAAGGCGCTTTCAACCTGGCCAAGGAGAGGCGGCCGCCGCTCGTCAGAGACCATCTTCCAGCAACATTTTTAAAACCATTAAGCAGGGCCCCAGGTGTGGTGGACAGATGGCGCAGAGAATCCAGGCGTCCCCCTCAGGACCAGGAGCAGGCACCCAGCAACCAGCCTCTTAGGGCCCCAGAGATGCCACCCAGATCACTGCTCCCCAACCGGGCTTCCCCGGGACAGCGGACTGGGCGTTTGTGAGAACGCACAGTGACCGCGGCGGCCGGCCTCCCTGTCCTGGAGCCTGAGGCAGATATACAGTGCACTCTGGGTGCCCTGGAAGTCGGTGTGAAGGTCATGGGTATGAGAGAGGGACAGAGGGACTGTTGGATTGACTAGTGGATGAGGGGACTGACCACGAGGGGCCCCGAGGAACAATCTTGTGCTGCTCGGTACTGTCCCCCACTTACAGGGCTGTACCCTCCAGGAAACGCATGGGCAGAGCCGGAGGCTCAGAGTCCGCTCTGCCGGAGAGAGAGACTCCTGCCTCACCCCGCTTCCCTGTCACCCCGTCCCTGCACACCTGTGAATACCCTTGAAAAGAAGAGGGGGTTCGCTAAGGAAGTCTAAAAACCAATTTTCCCTGTACATGAATGCCAAGAGACAACCCTCCTTCCGTCTCCTCCACTTCTACTCCTACACATGTTGCCAGTAGAAGCACTAACTGCTCCTTCGTTTCAGACTATCTTTCCAACACGTTTGTATCGTGAACTGCCTTGGGGGAGAGAGGTCGTGGCCCTCTCCCAAGCAAAGGGCGGATTTATTCACTGTCTGATATAATAAAGGTATTGTCTCCTTATGGAAGAAGGTTTCGGTAGGTTTGCTCACAGCCTGTTACAAAGGTTCGGGTTCCGTAAGACTGGGGATCCTCTGCTGTGTTGCAGACCTACTGCAACTGGGTCTCACCCACCTGGGCACCTCGGAATCACCCGTGTGGGACTCGGGGCCAGAAGGGGAACTGGCACCTGTGTTCCTGCTGCCTGCTCGGCGGGAATAAAGTCCTTTGTCTCTGACCCAGGTATTTTGTGTCTTCTACCAGCTTCTAGGCCACAAGAACAGGCTGACTTACTAGTTTGCAAAAAGGGGGAAATCTTAGACCTTTCATGGTCCTTGACAGTTCACTAAGTCACTTTTTTCTCCAATTCATCCTCTGAAGGTAGATAGTGTTTGCTGCCGGCCTGCTGGCGGCTGCCTTCAGCCACAGGGAGGCATGGGCGCCCGGTCCCTGCCACACGCTTCCTCAGTAAAGCTGCCCCACAGCAGACCACGCTCCCCGGCTGGAGGTTCGATGGAGGTTCCACAGAAAACCCAGCTGCAGGATCAAGTAGTGTAAACCATTTGAATCAAAGGCACGTATTTGAGAACGGTTTGGCCCCAAGCCTGGATTAATTTCCCCCAAAATGGGGAGGGGCAAGCACTGTGCCTGCCCTCGGCTTTACCTCATGAAGCAGCTGTTGGGAAAAGTCCCGGTACTCGGGGCTGCCGCCGTCCAGCAGCGACTCAGTCAGGGTGCGGTTCAGGATCCTCACGGTGACTTCAAACACGTGGGCCGCTGAGACAGACAATCATGCCAATGAGCAGAAATCCAGTGATCTAACATCACACGATTTCCTGTCCATGTTTCTCATAAAGCCTGCCCTTTGAGGGGAAATTTTTTTAAAAAATAGATTGAGCCCTGCACAACCCAGGTGCCACCGTGACCCGGCAAAGGGGAGCTGAAACCACGGGGCAGGACAAGAGTCAGCTGCCTGGCAGCCACATGGCCACGCCGGCTGCCTTCTGCATGACAGGATCCCCAGCTCATTCCTACACGGTGTTTTTGTGTGGTGGGGTGGGGGGCGCCTCTCCACGGCACCGACGCCATGGGCGCGGCGTTAGCGTGTCTAGTACACGTGTGGGAAATGAGGCGTGCTCCGCAAAGATGCTGCGCAGTGCTCAGGTCTTGGTTTGGGCAAGTTATGCACACTCAGCCCTGTGGAGTTACATATGACAAAAGGTCATTCAATGCATGCAAATCACCACCAGCCTCTACGTCACTCCTCTTGCTGCCTCACTCTGACCGCTTTACAAGTCCTTTACAAGAAAGGCAGGGTCCCCGTGGAGCCCTCAGCACCTCAGGGGTCTGACTTGGCCCTGGCTGGACACGGTGGAGGGGGACGAGGGAGCCTCTGACGGGCGTGACACTGCTCGGAGGACACACAGCGCCCACAGCCCCATTAGGATGGCGGTGGGGAAGACAGGCCTGTGGCCGCCCCTGTCTGCTTATAAGAAGAGGAGCAGTTTGAATCTCTGGGGCCAGCAGAACCAGCGTGGAAAGACCAGCTCACAGGTAACATGTGGCTTTTGGACAAGTGCCGTACCGGTTCTGACGGTCAGCATGGCGGTGATGTTGGCCTTGCATGCCTGGTAGCTGGTCCTGACCCCATACCGCACTCCGGCCTCCAGCCCAGTCACCTCCAGGGTCGTCCCCTGGGTCCTGGCGCTCCTGAGCAGCTCCTCACCCTGGTAAACCTGCACATGGAAGGTGCGGTTCTGGGTGGCATTTAAACTCCAGGACACTTGGAAGCTGCTGCTGGTGACGCTGAGGATCATGTAGTCTCCGATGGGAGGGTTGCCTGTGGACGCACAGAGAGAGAGGATTCGGAGGGTGTCCGAGAGAGAGGCAACAAAAGCAAAATCAACCAATCAAAAAGCGTCTGCACAGCGAAGGAAACCATCAACGAGGTGAAAAGGCAGCCTATGGAGTGGGAGAAGATATTTGCAGATCGCATATCTGCTAAGAGGTTAGTGTCCAAAATATGTATGGAACTCATACACCTTAATAGCAAAAAACAAATAATCCAATAGACATTTTCCCAAAGATGTACCGATGGCCAAGAAGCATATGAAAAGATGCTCAACATCACCATCAAGGGAATGCAAATGAAAACCATGACGAGATACCTCTGTGAACCTGTCAGAATGGCCCTCATCAATAACACAAGAGATAAGTGCTGGCCACGGTGTGGAGAAGAGGGAATTCTTGTGCACTGCTGGTGCGGCTCCTGTGGAAAACAGCGCGGGAGTCCCTCAAAAAATTAATACTAGAGCCGTGCTAGGATCAGAGATTCCACTTCTCGGTATTTATCCGTAGGAAATGAAACGACTATCTCAAGCGATTTCTGCACTTCAACGCTCAGTGCAGCATTATTCACGATAGCCAAGACTGGGAAACAACCGAAGTTGTTTTTGCAGCTGTGGTTGCTATGGTGTGTCATGGGCTGAATTGTATTTCCCCATATTCATAGGTTGAAGTCTTAACTCCCAGTACATCAGAATGTGACAGTATTTGGAGAGAGCATCTTTCAAGAGGGAACTGAGTAGAAGTTAGGTAATAGGATGAGCTTTTTATGTTTTTATACTGAAATCCACTCCAACATAGCACTCTAGTATATAATACTCTAACACAACAATTAATATATGTTTTGGCACTCAAATATAATAAAGTCTCTTTTTCAGAAGGAAAATTCCAGCATACAACAGCCACCTGGGTAATATGAATTATGTAAAAAGTAGGCTGGCCCTCAGTCCAGGCACTATAATTTTAACATTAGAATTTGAATTCTAGAAAAGGCTAGCCATGAGTATATTTTTTAAAAATCTTTTGCAAAACCACAGTAAAAAGCAGTTAAAAAGTGTCTGAATATACCCAAAACTCTTCATGTAAGAATTCATAAAACATACTTTCTAGTAGCATGAAAAAAACTCTTAACTTTCCAGACAAATGTGTATGCTTCCTTTCAGTGAAAAAAAATAAAAACCAGTGTAATTCAACCTATTTCCCTTTTGCCTTGGCTGTCAAGAGACTCAAAATAAGTTTTGTGGCTCATCTTAGTCCTGCGACCCAGCCGTGCTGTGTCCTCCTCCAACTGAGCCCTGAGCGGCCTTTTATAAATGGGGGTGCCCTGTGTACACATGCTTCCCTCCTGGGAACCCCGGGCGGGACGCCCTTAAAGCAAGTGGAGACAGGTTACCGGAGGCTCATGAGAACTGGGAGCCCAGCCCTCCGTCCGTCCCCTGCCATACGTGGGCAGGATCGGGGACCGCCAGCTAAATTTGCGCTGCTCCCTGGTAAGTCTCCTGGGATGGGGAGGTAGAGTGCATTTGCAGAAGGCACATCTGACCTTTTCAAACTTCTGCCCTCCAGAGCTGCGAGAGAATACATTTCTTCTGTTTCATTCCTTTTTAAACAATAAATTTGATTTTCTTTTTCTTTTCTCTTCTTTCTGTTGTTTTACAGGCCAGCTGCGTGGCGCTTTGTTACGATGGCCACAGGAGAGACGAATCCACCCCTGCCCCCCAGCCTCCTTCACCTAGTTTTCAAGGCAGCCTTGGGCTTGGCAGCAACTTGGTAAGTTCTTCGTGTCGGGGCAAAATCAGCCAGCTTCTGACACACAAAGGCTAATCCCTCTTTTGTAGGACAGAGCTTGAGACCTGTTAAACTGGCAAGAGCCCTTCTGCCTCCTACTTGAACTTGGATTTTAGTCCTTTATTAGCCAGGAAAGCCTGTTCTCATGGCCCTTTTAGCTCTTTGACAGTCCTCTTAAAATGTGGTTCTAGGAAATGACACCCAAGTCTTGACTCTCTGCTATCCGAGGACACTGCCTCCTTGAGGCCCTCCCCACCCTTCGCCTGGGAACTTGACCTTTGTCTTGAGGAAGCACATTGGGCTCCCTGTGTCCGAGGGTCCAGGCCTTGTTCCTTCTGGGAGGCCCTGTCCCGTCTCTGGCGAAGCAAGAGGGGGCCTGCTGGGGTTGCTGCCTTTCGCAGGGTCAGGAACAACCCGTGTCAGGCTGTTCCTCTTTTCCCTTGGGCCTGTAGCCCTGACACCCCACCCTCGTAAAGGTAGAAATGCCGAGGAGTTGAGCCAAGAGTCTGAGCGTGCTGTCAGGGATGAGGAGTCTCGGCTCGGGTGGACTTCGGAGGCCACTTCCCGCCAGCTGGGCTGCCTCTCGAGCAGCAAGCACAAGTTCGGGAGACCTTTCTTTATGGAGCTGAGTAGCTATTCGGTTGCAGCTAAGGAGGGGGACTGTGTCAGAAGGAGTTAGGATGACCCCTGAAGACAGTTCCACTTTGTCCTAAAAGCAGAACGTGTTCCTGGAACATTACATGCAAACGGAGCAATATTTCTTATGGTTTCTGTTTTGTGCAAGAATCTAGCTGCCCCGTGTGTCATTAATTGAATGACTAATTTCACAAGAAAAGCATGTGAAATTTGTGCTGTATTTTCCACGGGCTTGTACCCCTAAACCATGCCAGCAGATTGCTCATTTATATTAGCTTCTAAATTTAAAACATGTGCTGCTTCCCTGAGCAATATGCCATTGGAATTCACTCTGAAGTTTCTGAGCTGGCAACGCTGGACTGGCCTTTTCTGCCCTCTGAGGAGTGGATCCGCGCGGGGCAGCTCTCCCTGCCTGTGTTCGCCTACAGACTGGCCCTTTATCTGGAAGGACGCTCGCTACTCAGTATCTTGGCCGAGTATTTTCAGTAACTATATTCCGATCTTCTACCCTCCATGAGGGACGGGGTTGTCCTCACCTCCCCACCCCCCGCCCAGCCCACAGGGTACAAGGCAGGAGGTCTAAGGATGGTCTGGAGGGGGTCTGGGCCAAGCTTTGTGGGCACAGTTCTACACAGACCGTCAAAGGGATGAGCTGCATAGTTGGAGCGTCTTGTTGCTGGAGGTGGGCTGGTGGGTGTTGCCACTCAACTCTCACTTTTCCTCCACTGATAGCAAATAAGTGTTGAGCATCTACCATTTGCCAAGTACAAGGGCTCATTGGCAGGGGCCAGGAGGCCCGCCCCGTGGAGCTTCATCCTAGGGGAAGTGGAGCATTCCAGTGGATGAAGACTGACCCCGGACCCCTCAGGTCCTCAAGTGGTGCTGGGAACCAGCTCCTCCCCAGCGTCGCCCCAAAGCCTCTACCCTCGCCTCCCCTCACCCCAACAGCGGAGCAAGAAGAGTCAGGAAGGATTCTACACTCATTTTTCTGCTGAGTTTGGATCCCTGGAGAAAACAGTCAACAGCTTCAGACCTCTGCTCAGCTCCGGATCCTTCTCACGGATGGGGGAGAAAAGGGCGCCACGCCGTGACAAGGGGCAGCCGCTGGGGGGTGCTCTGTGGGGCAGCTGCCTGGTGGGGTCGTTCTAAGGATTAAACAGATGATCCCGGTGACTTCAATGTTAAATAGCTCCTGGCTGTATTATTATCAACAAAAGGAGGGTCCTCACTCTTACGTTCTTTTAAAGGGGATATAAGACGTGTAAATTAAAATAGGTGATTCAAATGTGACTATACAATACTCTCCACAACCACTTCACAGTGTTAATGAAAGTTCTAGTTTTTGTAGCAAAATGTTGGAAGGCACCTTAATGCCCCCCATGAGGCAAATAGCTAAGAGATTATATCACTGCTATACAACATCAATATTACTCAACAACCGAAAATTAGAATTATGAAGACCAGGTTGTTTCTTGGAAACCTTTGCATGACATAATGGTGGGTGAAGAAAGCATACAAACTGCATGCATAGTAGGATTTAAATAGGGTGAAACCCTGGACGGGAGCAGGGAGAAATAAAGCAGTGTGCCAGCGTGTTGAGACTGCTGTGACTTGTCTTTCCACTGTTGTTAGAATGTTGCTAAAGTAATAAAGCAGATTCTGCAATGACAAGAGAAACTTCTAGTGGCCAAATTGAATAAGCGGTATATCTGCTCTAGGTACAGGGTCCATCGGAGCCCCCGCCTGCACCCCCTCTCCTGCTGTCCCCCGCCCGGGCTGTGCGTCCAGCTGTGCCCATTGCGCCCAGTTGGCCTGCTGTTTGTCTTGCAGACATGCCTCCCCACCACACCTGCTGAGCCCCCACCAGCCACCGCCCAGGGTCCCACCTGAATGTCACCTCCCTGCTTCCTGCCATGCCCCAAGTCACTTGGCTTGGGATCAGCTGCTCCATATAATAGGAAACCCCCATCAGATATGCCCCTTGCATAGGAGACATCTGCAGTGGCTGAGGCCCAGTCCCCTTCACTGTCCTCACTCCCCCATCACTAGTGTCTGAGCCTTATCCGCAAGGTCACGCCGTGGCTGACATGGCCAGTGGGGCCTCGGCCATCACAGTCTTGAGCCCAGCCTGGTCTCAGCAATGCCTGTAACCATTAAGCGGTCTTTCTGACGTTCATGGAAACTTCTTCTGCATCTCATTGGCTAATGTAAGTCACATGACGATTCTACCCACAGAGGACGTAGGGAAGCGTAGTCTTTTCAACTCACACATTTCCACACAAAGCTCAATCTAAGTTCTCTCACTATGGAAGGAAAGAGTAGATTTGGGGTCTGCCATGGCCTCTCTACTCTTCTTTTAAGATTTTATTTATTTATTTTTAGAGAGAGGGGAAGGGAGAGAAAAAGAGAAGGAAAGAGAAACATGGATGTGTGAGAGAAACATCAATCAGTTGCCTCTCACACAGGCCCCACCCAGGGACCGAACCTGCAACCCAGGCACATGCCCTGACCAGGAATTGAACCAATGACCTCTCACTTTGTGGAACGACACACAACCAACTAAGTCACATTGGTCAGGGCACAGTCTATTCTTAACCCAGTATAGTTAAGAACTGTAGCTGGTGTATAGTAGGCACTCATTAAAATATGCCCCACGAGTGACTGAATGAATGCATGTTAACCGGACCCTCCCCACCCATCCGTGCTAGCTGGAAGATTCCATCTGAGCATCTCCTGTTCACCATCCCAGCTGCGCCTGCAGCCTCACTCACCTGCAGACAGCCCTGCAGTCTGTGGGCTCTGAGCCTCCCCTGACCACGCGCTGGCCACCAGAGCAGCTGCAGATGACGGTCATCCCCAGCTGGAGAAGTCCAAGAGCAGCTTCCCAAAAGAGAGAAGGCTTACCTGGGTCCTGGAGCTGCAAGAATCAGCCAAGGTCTCTCCCAGCCTGGAGCTGCAAAAATCGGCCAGGGTCTCTCCCAGCAGCACACCAGCCTACTGGGCATCACCCATGCTCCAAAGGACCTTCCTGGGAGTCCGCCCCTCCTCCAGGCTCTCCCCCGCTTCGCCCCACAGCCTCCTCCCTTGCCCTGCTTGATCTCAGTGTCTCCTCTTTGTAAACACCCTTGAAGCTGCCTGTCCTGCTGTTCTTCCCCCCACCCACACACACACACTCTTGTCTCTTTGCAAACCCCTCCTCCTGTACTGACTTCTAAATAGTGGGGTTCTTCAGCCCCAGGCCCCGGGTCCCCTTCCTGTCCCCCAACCGTGCCCATAGTAAAATGCCAGCTGGATGCTGATGACCCCGGATTGCAGTGCAGCCCCCCTCAGAGCTCCAGCGCTCAATATCCAGCTCAGCCGGCATCCTGGCCTCTCTGCGCAATTTCAACCCCTTCTCAATTTAAACCAGTATTGTCAAAAATCCTACTAACCCCCCGAGTCTTCCTCCAACTCATTCAGAAGTCACCACTGATTCCATTGTTCGGCCTAGGCCTCTTGGGTCCTGTCTCATTTCCCTCTTTGTTTTTTGCATCCAGCTAACCAGTCATCCCAGAGATGGTTCAGGTTATTCCTGGACCCAAGGTAAGTAAGTATTCATCAGGCCCCTTTCACTCTCAAAGGTGTCCCGATTTAAACAACCAGTTACGCAGGCCTCTACTTATACACATAATTCCTAATAAGCATCAATCGGCATGTTCTCTACTGAGTTTCCTGAGAGCAGCAATGATGATCTATTCATACGTGTTTCTATTACCAGCATCTCACACAGCGGGCGGCGCCTAAGTAAACATTGGTTCAATCAAAGAATGAAGGCGAGAAGAGCGCAGTTCGAGACCAAGAACCATCGCCAGAACTAGGTGACGATTCTCTGCCCACAGGCCAGCTGGTCCCCTTTTGCAAGAAGAGGGGATCTGGGTGGCCTCCGGACTGCCGAGCCTGCAAGGGTTCCTTATGCTGCCTTACCTTCACACGTGCAGTTCAGCGCCTCGGGAGACGAGGTGGCCGACTCTGGGCGGCGGGCGCACTGGTATGAGCCCTCCACGTTTAAGCACAATTCCCTTTCGGAGCAGGCGTTGAGTTCCTCGTGGAAACATTCATTTACGTCTGTTGAAGAGAAGAGTGGGTGAGCTGTAACCAGCCGGTCATTCTCATTGACCTCCAGACGTGTGTGCCGTGAGCTGAGGAAGCGGCTGGCGGCAGTCCCCAGGTGCCCCTCGAAGCCCTGTCTCCGGGAGCCTGAGCGCCTGCTGGCGCCTCCAAGACCCCATCTCAGGACCCGTGGCGCGCTCGCCTGCAGCCGTCACCACGGGCGCTTGGGCCGCTGCTGTCGCCTGAGCCGGTCGCTCTGGCGCTGCCTGGAGGCTGAAGGGTCATGAAATGAGTGCGTCCAAACACCCTACCTGAGAATTAATCGGGTGGACGGGCCCCTTTCTGGGCTGAGAAAGAGAGCAGAGCCGCCCCTGACATTCAGAAGTGGCCTGTCCCTCACAGCTGGCCCTGTCCCTCCCCTGCCAACAGAAACAGTCTCACAGAACACACTGGGCATCTCCCCCACCGGGATGGAGGGAGACAGAGCCACGCCACTGCACGACTTCGCCGAAGCCAAGCAGAAAAAGACCCCCGTGCCACCCACAAAGTATCACCACCCACCTTGGGCAAAATGAGTGACTCAGTTTTTTACTAATTAGAGCTTATCTTCAGGCTAGTTTGCCTTTCTCCACAAATCAATGTATTGAGGGGCCCTGTCATAGACTCCTCACTTTCTAATAGCTTCCAATCTAGAGCAAAGTTCTGCATTGAAGCTCCCCAGCCCCAATATGCCCAGGCAAAGCCCACACCCCATAATAGGTTCTCTCCCACCACCCGCTCCTACCCCTCATCCTGGGGCCCTCCCATGTCCCGTGGCAGCTGAGCACTTGAGGCAGAGACCATGTGGCCCACAGCCCAGTGTATCTTTTATAACTTTAAGTATTTTTTATTTATTGAGTTGAGAGAGAAAGAGAGAGAGAGAGAGAGAAAGGAACATTGATTTGTCGTTGCACTTATTTATGTATTCACTGGTTGCTTCTTGTATGGGATCAAACCTGCAACCTCGGGGTAATGGGACAACGCTCTAACCAACTGAACTATGTTGCCAGGGCCCACAGCCCAAAGTATTTACTGTTTTATACTTCAGAAAAACTTTCCTGACCCCTGACATAGAAAAAGGAAGGAAGGAAGAGAGGGAGGGAGGAGGGAGAGAGAGGGAAAGAGGTAGGGAGGAATGGAGGGAGGGAGAGAGAGATGGAGGCAGGGGGAAAGAAAAGGAAAAATGGACATAGAAAAGAAAAGAAAAAAACGAACAGAGAAAAGAAAAGGCGGGCTGGGTAATTTCTTCCAGAAACAAGGCCACATCTGTACTTTACCAAATTCACCTCTGTACCAATTCAGCTCACAAAGATGTCCTTGGTAAGGGTAAGAAGGAGCAAGAGGGAAATGCAGGAACCAAGAACTGAAGACAAATTCTTGTGTTGTTCTGAGATGTGTTCCCCCTGGCATGGAGGGTGTGGAGGAGATGCAGGGATTAAACCTGGAGTTTAAACTTGATTTGGGTCAGAAGGAGCTAAGATGCATCTCCCGCCCCTCACCTGCGAGATTATTTTCCCACCCCTGCCCGCTGACCCCAAGGAGAGGACCAAGGGAAAGCACCACCTTGCACCTGGATGTTGATCACTTCATAGACGCGCTTCACGATGCCGTCCAACACGGCGGAGACGTTGGCCACCGGTACCGGCTGCGGCAGGCCCAGCAGCAGCCTTGATACTGTGGTCGAGGTGCCCCCACAGGCCGAGTGCAGGTGGTAGACAGCAGCGTCCATCGGCTGCAGGGCACTGGTGACCTGTGCAGGCAGAGTGAGAGCATCGCCCGGCGAAAGCGCCCCCATCAGACAGACGGGGAGACTGAGGCCTGGACTAGTGAGTTCACTGCGCATGCGCCATTCTGGTCTGCAGCCAAGAACCTCTAGGACAGTTTATTTCTGTCATCGCCCCAGTAGAAGTCTGAACACCAGAATATAAATACTTCTGCAACACCAGTTGTCATGGGCGGCATAGTGTCCACCCCCCAAATCCTCAGGTTGAAGTCCTACCCCCAGGACTTCGGAATGGGCCCTTATTTGGAAAGAGGGTCGTTGCAGACGTAATTAAAGATGAGGTCATTTGGATGGGCCTTTGCCCAGAAGGACTGGTGTTCTTACACAAAGAAGAGATCTGGCCCCAGAAACAGACACTGATAGAAGGAAACGCTGTGGGGACAGAGGGAGAAGACAGCCACTGACAAGCCAAGGGGAGGGGCCTGGGGGGGACCCTTCCCTCACAGCCTCAGAAGGAGCAGCCCTGCTCACACCTCAGTCCCAGGCCTCCGGCCCCCAGACCTGGGGGAGCATACACGTCTGTTACGTAAGGCCCTCAGTCTGCAACCGTCTGTGACGGCCACCTTCAGAAAAAAGCGCCAGTCAGCGCCTGGGCCCCTTGGTCCCCACCCTCACAGCTCATAACAGAGAATTAGATCAGAAACTAGAGAACTGGACATCAAGCCATGGCTCCTGTTGCACATCTGATTGTTTTTATCCTCAGTGATCCCTTATCTCATTTTATATGAATCCCTTTTGCTCCAGCCTACTCTCTCTCTTTAAGTTCTTTCCCTGTGCTGTTTAAACCTCACAGCCACTGTCTCCAGTAGGCTTGTAACTGCTTCTAGTTTGTGGAAGTGATGTCTAAGGCACAGAGAGGCTAAATAACTTGCCCAAGGCCACACAGCTGATGAGGGGCAACCCTGGGATTTGAACCCAGGCAGTCTGGCTCCTGAGCTCTCACTGGCCAACTGGGCCATCTTCCTTTGCCCCCAATAAGCTCAGAGGAGACAAAATCACCTCCAGCTGGGGCAGTTAGGGAGGCTTCCAGGGGACAGGGACGTTTTGGAATGCTTGTCAAGCTGCTTTATCATATAGCCCGGAGCAAGGCAAATGTGTGTGCCACCTGTTCTGTGGAGAAGGGACCCAGCCACACAGTGTACGGGACCCAGTACAGAAGGAAAATGGGGGGTCTTATTCAAAGAGTATGAAGCATTTCAAGAGGGGACCATGAAACATAAAGTGTGGGGCCCCTCTGAGCCTGGAGCAACTCCACGGGACACTCGCCCATGAAGCGGCCCTGCGGGCGGACCACCACCCTGGAGAGAGCCCCACACCGTGAGGATGAGCAACACCCTGTCTGCCACTGGGTAAAGGCATCCTGGCCGGAAGGCTCGGAAGTGTAAAAAAGTGTGAGCTGTGTCTACAGCAGGGTTCTCCAGCAGGGACGAGGGCGTGTGGTCACATCCAGGGGCCTTTCTGATGGTCACAGCTGGCCGTGTTTCTGGGTTCTTGTGCAAAGAGGCCAGGCATGCTGTGAAGTCCTATGACAGGCAGCCCCACAACAAAGAGCCATCCAGCCCTGGGCGTCCATGGTGCCAGGTGAGGGTCCCCATCCCAGCACTTTCCAGGACGCGGGGGATGTGAGTGAGGTCAGTGAGGACACAGATCTGGCCCCAGGCCATCCACACGGAGGCACCTTTGGTTTAAGCAACACTGTGAAAAGGTTAGAGGTTCCATGTCCTATACTGTGAGGGGGTGGAGCCTAGAGTGTTGCATGTGTCAAACTCCAAACTGCACACGTGGTGCAAGCATTTTATTTGCATGTAAATCATACCTCTTTGGAGCTCTGTTTTTTAAAATAAGAATTTGCATTTGCTTCAGAGTTAGGTGTTCTAAGGTCGCTCGTGGAGCCCTTCCCCAAGCTCCGGTTCCCATCGTGCCCCCACCGCCGCGTTTCCCAGCCGGGCAGCCCGTGGCTCGCTCCCCTCTCCCCTACCATAGAGTGCAGAAGCCGCATGTGATCCAGGAGCCTGGGGTCCACCTGCTGGAGTTCCCGGAAGTCCATTTTCACCAGGACGGTCACGTTGTACCAGGAACTCGTTGAGGTGCTCTCTAGGGCTGCTGGAGGACACATACAGATGAGCTCCAGGCCCAGGCCCCGGCCGAGGAGGGGCGCCCGAGGCCCTGGGGTGGGAAGGGGGACAAGAGGCTGGCCCTTCTGCATTCGTCCTCCTATGTAAGAGGGGCTGCCGCCTGGCTGGCGTGAGGCAGTCCCCCCACTTCCTGTCCCACACTTCCCTTACATTATAATACATGCAATCCTGCGTACGACGGGGTCCCACAAAACCCGAATCATCTTCTGGAGGGCAGTCCCCTTGCAGTACAGGCTTCCCCTGCCTGGCGAGTGTTCTAGGAACCCATCTGGGTCAGCGTATGTGCTGGCGTTGTTGTGAGAGGCTGGGTTCGGCTTGGGTGGGTTTTTTTGAGGACTCTTTCAACATGTTTGCCCATTGCACGGTGGGTGATTTACGAGCGCCCCTGCCCACACCGGGCAGGATGTTCAGCAGTTTTTGACCCAAAACCGCATGACCCCCATGCCCCACCCTCCCAGTTCACCCAATCTCATCCCAGCAACATTTTTTTTTGTTTCCCTGATGAAAAACAGTCCTCAAAGGAAAACGTTTTGCCGATGTTGAAGAGATAAAACAAAAAACGTCAGAAGCACTAAAAGGCATCAAAATTGAGAGTTCAAAAACTGTTTTGTGCAATGGAAAAAAATCTCAATAGGTGTATTGCATCAAATGGAGAGCCCTTTAAAGGTGACTGAAATTTAAACATGTGAGAATAAATATAGAATTTTTTATAAATAAATTTCATTTTGGAGGGGTTCCCCCTCGTATACTACATACACTGCAGATAATGTATATTGGATAATACAATATTATATGTAATATATATTTTATAGAATATGTACACTGTGATGTTTATAGTAAAACAGCATAACATATGTGATACATGGTACATTATTTATAATAATATTAGAATATATTATAATATATATGTATGCCTTTTTTCCCCCTAATTCTGAACCTTGACCAACCCGTTCTCCTGGGGGCAGCCCAGTCAAGACCAGAATCTTCCAGACCAGACAGATGCGCTCCGAGGGCTGGGCCACTGGCCTGCCGACCAGATGCTATGAGCAGGATTTCGGGACCCTGTGGTGTTTCAGGAGCAGCTGTGCACCGTCCCACTATGGGACAGGCCAGCTTCGAACGAGTGCCGCCGGAGCTCTGGGGCTCCCCAGGTGACGAGGGAAAGCTGGGCTGCTGCTCTGTCAGGAAGGTGCCTCCATGCAGGGCGCCTGTGAGCTGCCTCTCCCCCCGAAACGCCAGCGGCCAGGTTTTGACAGAGACGCTATGCTGAGCAGAATGGGCTCTGCACGCAGCTGTGGGCTCCCCGTGACATCGGCTGAGGTTCCTGGAAATCCCTCCATCCACCAGATCAGGGTGGGACCCCAGCCCACAGGCGGCTGCCTCCCTGGACACCTCCCTTGCTGCAGGTCTCGGTCCTACCTTGGGGTGCAGGAGCCACACAGCGATGGCCCCACGACAAGGGGCAGCATTTCTGAAGTCCAGGGCAGTCGGCGTCCAGGGCACAGGGGGAGGTGGATGCTTCCTGCCCCACCTTCGGGCAGACCCCAGGTCTTGATGCAAACTCCTCAGACCGATTCAGGGCTGGGGGAGAGTCGTTTGCCGTTAATGACGCTACCAGTGAACACCTGGGTGCGCTGCACAGGCACCCGTCTGGGCGCCCTGAGGCTGACTCCCCCTGCGGCCCTTGGAGGCACCCAGTACAGCCACTCATGGGCCAGGGCCAGCCCTGGGCAGCACCGTTCTGGTGTCTCATGTCCTGGAGAAATTGCCACACAGGGACTCGCTTTGGGGACATAAAAAATGGGTGAGTGGGGCAGCCCAGCAAGCCACTGGGACAAAAGAGCTAGCACCCCTGTGGGGCCACCAAACAAGGACCCAAAGGTCTTTGCTTCCTCCCACATTGTACAAACCAATGGCCTTTGGGCTAAGGAGACAGGAGAGTAAAGAGGAGGTGGCTCCTGGGACAGAAAAATGACCTTAGAAGAATAGTGAAATCTAAACAAAGTGTTCAGTTGAACTAATAGCAATGCACCAACATTGGTTCCTTAGTATGGACAGGTTACCATGGTGACACCAGACACTAACACCAGGGGACACTGGCAAAGGGCATGGGGGGACTCCCTCTGCCATCTTTGCAACTTGCCTGTCAATCTAAACTGTTCTAAACTAAAAGCCTTATTTAAATGAAAGGGAAGTGCAGGCCACCAAGAAAAATCAGCTTCCAAAAATGGTTGTCAATCACAACAGACATGTTTTCAAATTCCAGTTCATCTTGATCTGACTGCTGTTGAGGACCCTTCACCCTTCCTTCCCACAGGCTGGCTCTCACTGAGAGCCTAAGAGAACGGTCAACAATTCCAACTTGGTCGAAAGTTAAAAATCTGCTTCTCCTTCCACCATCTCAACACAAACAATGACACAGGACTGCCTATTGCCTGGCAACCCAAGGTTACTCCCCGTTCTAGGGGACAACGCACCAGAGATTTCTGTGAGCAGCAACGCTGAGGTCTCCTGGGCTCAGAAAAGTGATCCTTCTGGAATATCATCCCCACTCCCGCCTCCTCCCTAAGCGTCCTCCTTCCCCAAGGGGGCCCTGGTGGGCCGGGGAGTTTGGGGCAGTCTCCGGGTACAGCGGGGTCCTTCTGCCATGGTGATGAGCCACGGTGAAGATGGGCTCAGTGGAAACCAAGGTGCCACCTCCGTTGGCAAGCATTGGCTAAGGTGCTCAGTTAGCTCCACCCCCAGGAATTCCCCCGAAGAAAATAACCCAGCTTAGGAACAGAGGTGTTTGTACCGTAAAACACTCATTGCAGCTTTATGCATAATAATGAAAACTTGGAGGCAACTCAGTGTTGCATGGCAGGAGATTGCTTCGTGCTGATACATCCATATGAGGTAATGCCATGTGGCCGCAAAACCCTGCTGCAGAACAATATTTATTGACATGAAACATGGTCCAGACACATTGCCAAATGGTAAAAATGTGCTGAGGAAAAGTCTTGAACAGGGTGACCACGCTTTTGTAAAATGTCTGCCCTGAATGAAAGTAGAAGAAAATGTTCACAATGGCTAAGCTTGGGCGGGGGGTGGGGGTGGGGGGGCGGGTATTGTTGCGGCTTGTGGGTGATGTTCCTGTGTTAACTTCTGTGTTTCCAGATCTTTGCATGGCTTGTGTATTTGTTTCCGTAACGATAGTACAAAGATACATTTAAAGGAAATAATGTATGAGTTACTGTGTTCCAAATGCCAGGCTTTTAGAAAGTGAAAGTCATGTAGACTGAAGAGCATGTCACTTGTGTTCTCATAACACCCTTCCCTTTTTAGCTACTCAGTCGTTGAGTGGGAGGGGAAGGAGGAAGCTAGTCTGAGGCCTCCCTGCTGCCTGGAGGTGAGGCCTTCAAGCTCAGAGCACCGAGCTGCCAAGACACATGCCGCCCCCGCTCCCCGCCATCGGGAGGGACTCAGGGGCCCTCCTGTCTTCCCCCAATTCCTAGGCTGTCCCCATAGCTACTACATCCAGGGGTTGGTCTCTGCCCATGCTGTGCAAAACAACCAGCAGGTCACGGGGTCTCTTACGGAGACTTCTCCCTGCAGGTTCCAAAGCGCCAGCTTGTCACCAGGCTTCTCTAAAAAGCTCTGATCAAACAGTCGAGCCCTGATCATGGAGCTGTGCCAGCATGGGGAAGGTTGTGTTGCCAATGACCGTGGTGTAAATGCTTCCACCACGAGCAGATCCAGCTGCCAAAGCACTGGCCCTGAGCAAGGAGGCAGGAAGAGGCGCTCTGCGTGCCCCTCCACCATGTCGCCATTCTCCCTATTCCAGCCACTCCCCTACTGTAGCTCCCCAGAGCAGCCCTGCCCACAGGACTCTGTAACTAGAATGTTCTGGTCCTCTCCCCACCTGGTGAGTTCCTAAGCAAAGGTGCTAACACTTTATAAGTGGGATCGATGTCCCATGAGGGGCATTTCTTGGAGGCTGGGTTGTTGACAGGAAGAAAGAGGAGCGACAAGTGGCAAGGAAGGGATACCAGCCCTCCCTGCCTCCTCTCCTTTGGGACTGTACTTGTGTAGCTCAGTAGGTCAGCAGCCCTTACAGAAAGGTCACCCTTTGCGGGGTGGGGCTGGTGGGGCTCAGCCAACCCTGGGTCCTCCTCCAGGCTGCTGGGCCTGCGACCTCATTAGCCCCGACAACCGCTAGCAGGTCTTCACCTGTGTGTCCTTCACAGGTGAAGACAAATGGAGCAGGGCCACACCTGCCTTCTTTCACTGGATTCTGATGCTCCACACCAAGGTGCTGTGGGCCCCCAGGGTCTCCACAAATAAGGGGATCCCGCATCCTCCGGGAAGAGAGGTGTCCCCAGGGCAGCGGCAGCAGCTGAGCTGGCTGCCCCTTTGTAGGTGTGGCCCTTGAAGACTGGAAAAGCGGAGAGGGGGCTCTTACAGCACAGGAAGGGACTCTTTGGACCCCGCACCTGGGCAGCCCCTCCAGCATCCAGCCCCTCCCTACAAGCGCCCCTTTAGAAAGCCAGTGGGAATGTACAGCTGGCACCAAGTCATGGCCCCAAGGTCAGCTGGCCCTCTCTGGTTCCTACGGGTGGTGGCGGTGTTAGTGCTATGGCAGCATTTTAATAGGTGACCCTCAACTGACAGGCCAGCTCCATGCCCGGCCCCCTGAACATGGTCCATGGGGAGCATCAGGCACCCCTGGCCACTGTGAGTCTGCTCTGTTCCCAGACTTTCCGCATAGCTCAGGGGTCCCTATTTGTAATTACAGTAAAAAGGTGCCTGGTTAAGTAAAATAATGTATGAGTTGCCACTGCGTTCCGAAAGCTGAATTTTTTAAAATTTGAAGAAGTTACTGAGACTGAAAACACGATCACACATGTCCTCATAATGCTCTTCCCATTTTAGGTCATCGGCTGTTGCGCTGTTTGGGGGACCTGAGGGAGACAGGCTCAGGGTGCCTCAGCATGCCAAGCCCATGCAGCTCTCTGCAGGGTCTGCAGGACACAAGATACTTCCTGTCATCACGCCCCACCCCCCGCAGGGAGGAGAAGTCTGCACCCCTGGTGTGCGATGTCCACACCCAGGCCTCAGGCCCCATCTGGGCAGGATCCCCCTCCTGGACCCCTGAGCTGGTGCTTTCCACCCTCCGGAGGCAGCAGCCCTCACAACTCAGGGTGACCCCACTGACACCCCTGGAGCCACACCCGTGGCACTTCCCCTCCATGACGGAGTGGGGACAGGGGGACCTTCTGACTGCTCAGAAATTCTTTTGAGATCTGGTATTGACTCAGACGTAGCAATCACTGCTACCCACACACGCTCACGCAGGCACCCTTTCCCTGGAAGACGTCTCTGGAAAGTTCCCTTCATTTCAAGAGGGTGAGCCTTGAACCCACACGGAGCCCAGCCTGAGGCGCTGGCCCTGCACAGCCACACCAGTTACCCTGGTAACCGCCTCCAGCATCTTCCAAACTACACTGCGAAATAAGAGGACTTGGGGGCCTCTAGGCACTCAGCGGGGGCTGAGGGGAGCCCTTCCATCTCTCTCACATATTGGAGTCCAGATTAGGATTTCAGATAAAGAAAGCATCCACTGCAGCTTTTTAAAAGAAAGGGGAGACTCCCAACATTGCAGAGACTGCAGCATTGGGTCTCCAACTCAGCTCCGCGTTAGTGGCTTCTGGAGCTTTAAGAACACCCAGACACCCAAGCTGTGCCCCAGACCAAGTCCATTATAATATCTGAAAGCAGGGCCCGGGCATCACTGTTTTTAGCTGCCCAGGGGCCCTCCAGTGTGCACTCAAACTAGGGCCCCGGGGCCAGCGGCATGGCCCCTGCCTGGGAACTTCAGCCCTGACCCACTGGATCTGAAGTCCGGGAGTGGGGTCAGCGATCTGTGCTTGGACAAGCCCTCCAGGTGGTCCCGATGGTTGAGACTAAGAACAGTGTTCCAGAAGGATCTAGGAAGTTCCTTCTGAGCTAACAGGCGTGAACGCTGACTCTCCTGAGGCTTATCAGGGATCCCAGGGAGAAGGCAGTGGCCCGCAGTTCCCTCATGGCCCTGGACTTACGCAGAACGCAGTAGAGGCCCAGCTGCTCGAAGCCCTCGCAGCAGTCGGTGACGTTCCTGGGCTCGGCAGCGTCCACTGCCAGGTACCGCGTCCTGTAGATGGTCTTGGGACACCGCCTCCAGGGGATCCATCCGCCGCAGGGCGCGTAGGTCACGTGGGACACGCGGACGGTCTCCAATTTCTGGACATTTTGGGTCACGCTGTAGTTGCACAGCTGGTAGCTCAGCAAGGACAGGCCTTTCTCTAGGAGGGAGGAAGAGGATCAACGAACCAAGAAAAGAACCAAACCTGGGATGCAATGGCAGCGAAGGGTTCTCTTCGCTACTGCACAAGTGAGTGAACCAAGCCCCCCGCACTTGGGCAGACCCTGGGAATCTGCCCACCAACCCGCTGAGAAGTCAGTGCAGCAACGTAAACTCGAGGGGAAGTGTGCCAATAGAGGCCTGCCTGCCAAGAAACGCTGCTGTGCTGAACGTGGAGCTTCCACCAGGCTGAGACACGCTGCCCACAGCCCAGGCCGACACGGAAGGGGACATGGAGGAGTCAGACTTGGGAGGCTCGGGTCCCCTTGTTCTGCTTCGCACTTTGTGATTCTGCAGCCAGAGCGCACACCTCTTAAACTCCATGAGCCCCGGTTTGTCGTGTGGGAAATGCATCAGTAACAATTCCCACAATAACTAGATGCAGTAGGCCTACTGCACGCAGTGGCATCCTTTCATGGAATGAAGAAAAATCTCAAGCACACGGTAGGGGTCGTAGATGGTAAAGGGCAGTCCCACTGTTACTGTCGTCATCGAGAGATGAGGGCAGAAGGTGGCACTGCAGGTTCCTGTGATACTCATGACCATCGCCAGCCCTGTGCCTCTTTGTCATGGACCCCGTGGCCCTGGGGTGTCCCATCTGCTCAGGGAGCTTCTGCTGTCTCATGAAGCAGGGACTACAATGGGCTGAATTGTGTCCTCCGCCCACCCAAAATTCCTATGTTGAAGTCCTCATTCCTAGTACCTTAGAAGGCGACCTTATTTATAAACAGGAATCTTGTAGATGCAACTGGCTTAGATGAGGTTATACTGGAGTAGGGTGGCCCCCATCCAGTAAGACAGGAGTCCTTATAAAAGGAGAAAGCTGGACATAGAGACAGGAAGGCACACAGGGAGAAGGCCATGTGAAGATCACGGCAGACTTCAAGGGGATACTCCTACAAGCCAAGGGACCCTAGGATCGCCAGCAACGCAGCAGAAGCTGAGGGACAGGATGGGGCAGAGGCCCTCTCACCACCATCAGGAGGAACCTGTGCTGCGGACACCTCGATCTCGGACTCCTGGCCTCTAGAACTTTAAGGGGAAAATCCCTACTGTGTAAGCCCCTAGCTTGGGGCACTTGTCCGTGTGGCCCCGGGGAACTTTCGCAGCCAGCATGGCGCTGTCTGTACTTGGGGGTCTCGGTGCAGGATGAAGGAACGCGTGGTCTGACTACACTCCACACCTGCAGAGTCTCAACCTCTGAGCTCCCGGCTTTATGAGACTGTACAGCCTACGAGTGGGCGCTCAATGTTACGGTGCATACCCCGCAGTGAGAAGCTGGCTTTCTGGGGAGGAGGAACTCAAGGTTGGCAGCAGGAGTCATCTTCACCCCCAGCACCAAGCAGGGCCCCTGAAGTGTCCCTCCTTTGGCGTCACAGAAGCCCCCGAGAGTGCAGAAAGCAAGACTCAGCGTAGGGGAGGGCTAGTGATCCCCAGGAAGACATAGACAGAGCTGGCCCTCAGGCCCGGGCTGATGGGGGGCCTGCAGCCTCACTCTCGGCGGAGGAGAGTGCTGAACTGCCGCAGCCGAGTGAGCCCATCCCACAGCCAAGCGAGCCACCTGGCTGCCTCCCCATCACCACGGTGGATGGCAGGGCCTTTGGGAATGGATGCACCTGCTGCCCGTCTCCATCAAAGGGGCAGGTGACAATAAGCTTTGGGAAGGGAGGGAGGCCCCTTGTTATGTGGGTTGGGCAGGAGAAATCAACCTTTAAGACTAGGACCACTTGGCCCAGAGCTCAGAGGTGACTTAGACAAGGGGCTAGGGACAGTGGCCACCACAACAGTGGTCAGTAACGGACTGATCGACTAACAAGATGAAGCACGAGGACTCCCCGCAGGGAGAATTTGGCCAAGTGGACTTAGAGTTTTGTTTTTCTTCTCAACCTAAGACAAGATGCCTACCACTAACGAAGGTGACATATCCCTATCTCTAGAGAGTCACCAGTCCCCATATGATGGTGACAATGTCCCAGCTAATTATTAGCACACACACCACACGCATCACCTGTGAAACTGCACTTGGGAGCGACTTATTTTGTTTTGTATTTTACATTCTCCCGGGGGCCACCGGGTTCTCTCCGAGCCTGGCATCTTGGCAGAGCCCAGAGCAGGACCCTGTGGGCCAACCCTGCCACTCAGCAAACCCCTTCAAGAGCCATCGGCGTGGGAGTTGGGGGTCCTGGTTCCAGTCTCGGAGGTGTACAGTTCCACACTCCAGAGCCGGCCTGGGCCCCGGGTCAGGAGGCCCAGGTTCACCCCGGCTTCACAGACACCAGCTGTGTGATTCTGAGCCTGTTTCACGCCCTCCCTGCGCCCCAGTCTTGTCATGTGTACATACTAACTACGCCCTGGGTCATAGGATTAACTGAAATACCTAGCCTTTAGGACCAAAGAGCTGTGCAACCCCAAGCGTCTCTGAGCTTCTGTTCCCCGCGTCCCCACCTATGCAATGAGGGGCTCAGAAAATGCCTCCTCAGGTCTCCTCTAGCTTCACGGTAATGCCATTCGCTCTGCCACCGAGCTGTGGGGTTTACTCATCCCCCATTCCAAAGGAAAAATCATGTAAAAGCAATCATAGTTAAACCAGGATTCTACTTAGAGGCGAAAAAAACTTGAAACCTGAACGACACTGAAGTTGATTATAGGAACACATGGATCCTTTTGAGCTCCCCGCCGAAAAAGAGATTTCAGGAGAAAAATGATGCAAAAGTTTTCCGATCTCAAGTCCTTGAAATCTGGGGATTCAGAAACCCCATGGTTTTTTTTTAAGCAGCTGACCACGTGCCTCGCAAAGGCCTTGGACCAGCTCCCTTGCTCAGCCCCTCCCCCCGCCACCCTGGGCCACTTTTGTCCTCATTTACCACCGAGGAAATGGGGGCTGGCAGAGCCCGGGTGGAGGGCGGCTGGACGGACAGCCACCCTGGCAGGCTAGCCCTGGTGGAACTCTGCGCACAGCCGGCTGTGTGGTCTTGGGCGAGCTCCTGACCACCTGGGCCTCCGCCTCCTCCTCTTTAAGTTGAGGACACTAAGTTTCGGAGGCCTCAGTCCTGCGTCTGCTCAGCTTGGCTTGTGGACCTGCGTCCCACACACAGCACCGGCAGAGATGCACGCAGCTCCGGGCCCCAGCCAGACCTGTGGACACAGTCTTTGCATTGGAACCCCAGACACCCAGGTGATTCGGAGGCGCGCACACCACCTCTTCTGTGGTTACAAGAAAGTTTGGTGAGGAGGGACAGACGCTACCTCTCACAGCAGAAGAGCCTTTGCCCACCCAGCTTTGAGCAGGGCTGCTGTCCTTATGCCCCGAGGTCCCCTTCCCCAGCACCGCCCACATGGGCGCCCGGACCGCTCACCTGTGAAACTGCTGGCCTGGCTGGAGCCCACGGTGCTGAGCAGAGGCAGCAGGGCCAGCCCCAGGGTCCTGAGCATGGCTGGGCAGTGGTGGCAGCTCTGGGCCTCTCCTGAGCAGAAGCACAAAGGGGCCTGGGTCACCTGGGCCGGAGAAAGAGCCCTTCTGTTCCCTGTGCTGCCGACAGAGGCAGTGGCTTCAGAGGGTGCGCTCTCAGGGAGCAGTCCCTTATGCCTGCTTGTTAACGCCTGCCACCTCCACGGCCGTGTCCCCGGGGGGCGCCTGCATGTCACAGCCCATTCTCACTCCAGGCAGATGGCATCTCTGAGGAAAGCTGAGTACCCAGCCGCCAGGCTGCATCTCTGGACCCCATCTCGTTGTTACGCAGAAAACGCGTTTCAGGCCTGAATCTGACTCCCTCCATCCCGTCCAAAGCATTCTCTGCCCCTTATCACTGTGGACTGGCAGGAGAAGACAGCGTCAAATCAAAGTGGTCCATCAGATTCCGAAAAGCGTCCTTCCCAGCGGTGGACAGTATGGATCAAAAGCCATAAAAATGCCCTGACACCCGAACCCAGGGATGGCTCCTGAGGGCCTGCCTGGGAGCCGGGAGGCTGCTCTCCTAGAGGTGCCCGTCAACGGTCAGGACTTAGAATGGAAACGCAGTGAGCGCGCCATCCCCGGAGGGCAGGGGAGCAAAGAAACGCAGAGGGTCTGGCCACGACGCCCCACCGCCGCACACAGGCTCGCCTGAAGCCGTCCGGCAGCAGGAAAACAAAATGTCACACTGCAAGTCAAAGCAGCAGCTCATGCAGCCCTGCCCCCCGAAATTCCACGACCGTCTGACTGTGTGCCCGTGGGCCTGATCCTGAAAGGCCACAGGGATAAGGACCCGCATCGGGAGGGGTGACTGAACGATGGCTGATTTCTGTTTTATTTCAGTCTCCGTCATGTTGTCTGTGAAATGGATTTTAAAATGTTGTGTGAGATACTGTCTAGTGGATGCTGTCTTCTTATTCCCCTGTTGAGTTGTCTTTCAGTGCTTGGGATTGAAAACTGAGGCACGATTTTTAACGTTAGATGAACATCTCATTAATTCTGCTGAGAAAACTTCCAAATAGGGCAACAAAGTCCCATGTTAGTTGATGGCTTAGAAGTCTAAGTCCCTTGTGTCTGAAATACTAAACAGGTCTTCCAGAAGGGAGCTTATAGCCTAGCACCCACATCAATGTTGCTATGTCCTTTATTCCCAGTAGATTAACCTCCATGATGATTAACTGTTGCATTTGCATCGTTGGTTAATGGCTAAATGGCACATGCTAGGGCAAGAACACCAGGAAACGGAGCTGGAAATAAATAATTGTACAGTTACGGGGCGCAGCAGGAATCTTCTGGAAGACAGCACCCTTTACAGAGAACCAGGAATGCAGGATTGACTCACCAAATGTGCTGGAATGAAGGTTAAAAAAAAGTTTCAGTAAGGGAAAAATACATCTTAAAGCTATAATATAATATTCAAGGAAATATAATTTAATTAGCACTAACAGAAAATATATTACAACTTAGATAAACTTGAATGTTTAAAAATGTGAGATGGATCTGTACTATGGTATTCTATTATATTGCCTCTCAGAACTTTCTGCTTCTATAATGTATGGCCATTTCTATAAAATATGAAGGTGACATCAAGGGTAATAATAGATTTTAAAACTGGAAATTGGTCCTGTGCCCCGCTTTCCCTCATCTTCAGGCCCACGCTGTGAAGTAGGTCCCTTATCCCCATTACACAGAAAAAGAAACTGAGGGTCAAAGAGGCCACACAGCCAGCGAGTCAGAGATCCGGCCCGAGCCTGAGTCCTTCACCTGCCACCCTCCCCTCCACTCCTTGTCTGGTCACGGTGCCAACCAGGAGAACAGCCAGCCACAGCCCCCGGGAGAGAGGAGCAAAGCCAAGACATCTAGTCATGCTAATTTGGAATGATCCATAAAATGTCATCATACATGCTTTCTCTTTATATTAAAACTCATGATCAAAAAAAAAAAATAGCCCTCCCAAGTGGCAGTCTGGTTCTAGCTTGGTCCTCCTTCAGCCTCCCTTTCATTCAGGCACAGAAAGGACGTGAGAGTTAATTTTCCCCACAATGAGGTCTCTTCCTCCAGTTATCATGGAGGCATATTTTCCGGCGTGATGACTGGTAGGGATTTTCCACATCTGCCCTTTTCATGTAAACACTTTGAAGAGAAAACAACCATGCACTGTAACCCAGTGGGGCCAGGGGTGTCCCTCCAGGGCATCATGCCTATCACTTCTAGGGTGTGCCCGGCCACGGAGGCACCCAGCAAAGGTCTCCAGGTTTGCTCCATGTCTACGACTGGAGACCAGGGGCCGCCGCCGTGGTGCATTGCTAGATTCAAAGATACAAGCACACTCACACGCATGCGCACACACACATTTATACTCACGCTCTCACGTGTATAAGTACATACAGGCACATTCACACATGCTCACACTCATGTGTGCACACTCGCACACCTTCCCTCTCACATACACACATGTACACCCACTCTCTCACACTGATGTGTGCATGTAGATGTGCAGATGCTCACACATACTTACACACACTTCATGTGTAGGTCTGCACACTCAGGCACGCATGCTGCATGCTCACGCACGCACATGCGCACTCACACGCTCACGTGTGTATGCGCAGATGCACACACTCCTGCACATACACGCACAAGCACACAGGAGCGCACGCTCCCTGTCCCTGGAACCAGTGTCTCCATGAACATGAACTGAGCTGTGCTTTCTGCTTTCGGCGTCGGTGCCCACACTGAGCTCTGCCTCCTTTCTCCGTCCACCCCAGCTCCTGAGTCCTGTGAACAGAGACCCAACAGACTCCACTATAGTATCACATCTGCCATTACCCTCTGAGCCAAAACGTATACGCCCCGCGTGCTGTCCTAGGATGTGGTGATGGTGACCTGGGGGACAGATGTGCACGGATGTTGCGGGGCTCACGACAGTCGTCTTGGGTAGGGAGGGCACATGTGGCAGTGCTCATTGCTCACAACCTCCTTCTTGGAAACCTGTTCAACACGCAGCCCTGGCAACCACCCTCTGTCAGGCAGAGCTGGCCGGGAGGGGCCGTGCGCTTTCCTGCTTCACCTGGGCTCAGGCTGGAGGAGGTGAGCGCAGGATGAGGCGCAGTGGCAGAAACACACTGAAGGGCTGTCCTGGGCGGGGGGCCCTCAGTGAGACCTCCGCCAGGTGTCCTGGCTTCAGGGGCATGTGGGGACTGGGGATTCAGATGAGGATAGCATGTGGTTTGGTGGCTGCTCTGTTTCTTGCCAATGGAGGGGGACGACACTAGAAATGGGGTGCGGAGGCGCCTTGACCTCCAACGGGCCGCCCGGGCCCAGTTATTTCCAGGGAACGCTGGCTGTGATGGAAGGTCGTGACGAAGAGCTGGAGAGGAGATTTAGAGAGTGTAAAAATGCTGGATTTGGGAGACACTGTAAGTAATCTTGTCCCCCTCCCCACCCAATCCAGCCTGCCCTCTGTCCCTAACACCGTGCTTCCTGGGGTGTGGCGAGGACACCCCAGTCGGCACCATGGGGAGGGGACTTATCAGAAACGCACATACTTTCCCAGGGCAACACGGAGCCTTTCTGCACCTCAGTTCCCCGATCTGCAGCGTGGGAATCGTTGTGTCTTCTAATGAGCCCGTGTGTTCTAATGCCCCCAGAATAAAACAACGTGTGGACAGGTCTTCCAGAACTATAGAGCGCTGTTAAGGCGCCCACCTTCTAGGGTCATGAACTGTAGAAACGGTATTCCTGGGGAAATGTAATGACGAACTCTGCCCCCACCTCAGAAAACCTCTCACTGGGGTGCAAGAGAAAGAAGGCATTTTTATCGCCAAACAAGCGTAAGCGTCAGACCAAACGCCATGGGCACCGCAGGCCGTCCGGCAGGAGGTGACAGAGACAGACAGAAATGCCACCTTTTCTACAACCCAGCAGACACAGCCCCATACATCCAGGTTCTCCAGATAAATGATAATGAGCCCCCACGTGCAGGGACCTGCCGGCACCATTGGTCACATGTGTTCACCCTCACTTCACTCTGGAAATGGGGGTGATCCTCTTAGCTCAATGGCTTTATCCAGAAGACAAATAAACTTCTCGCCTCTTTAGGAAGGGAGGTCGTTTTGCAAATTAGAGCAAGGGGCCACCCTAGCAAGGCTCCGCCCTCCCACAGAGACTGGAGGGTGGGGCCCATCGCCCTTGGTTTTTGCATCAAATAGAGATGCTCCTGGGGCCTCAAGAAAGACAACAAAATGCCAATCCAGTCTTTTGAGGGACTTACACACATTTCAAAGGGAGGAGCAAGTTCTTCAGTGACAAGTTTTCTAAAGTAGAAATATGCTCAAAGAGCAAGGAGGGAAGGGAAGTCTTTCCCCTTATTTTCCACAGGGAGAATTAGGCCCCCTGTTTTCAATTTGTTTTTGTCCTCACAGAGTGAAGGGCAGTCTGCGGGCGCTAAGGGCCACGTACCCGACAAGTCTGGACTGGAAGCCTCACCGGCCCCTTCCCCTTCAGCCTCTGAGCATTACAGAGCAGTTTTAGAACCTTTTGATGAAAGCACAAATACTATGATCGGGAATGACATTGCTCCTAATAAATAGTTTTAAAATATAGAATTAATGGTTCCCATGGAAACTAATGCAAGTGCAGAAACAGAAATGCATCCAAAGGAGGGTCCTAGAACGCAGCAGCAGATGGGTGCTGGGCTGAGAGAGGGTGTCCGGGGTTCCAGACTGGACTCCAGCCGCTCTGTGTCAGGTGGGGACATCCTCAGTTCTCGGGCTTCAGCTCTCGACTCCACGCAGTGGGAGGATGACAAGCCGTATGTGTCCCCGTCAGCACTGGCATGTCATGATGGCATTGTCTCCCTCAGGACAGGTAGAAACAGCACTTCTAGAACCATCAGGACTGTTCGATAACGGATTCCACCACCTGGATGTAAAATAATGAAACGAGCAGTATCACCTGAACCACATCACAGTAACAGCAA